CCCCCCCCCCCCCCCCCCCCCCCCCCCCCCCCCCCCCCCCCCCCCCCCCCCCCCCCCCCCCCCCCCCCCCCCCCCCCCCCCCCCCCCCCCCCCCGGGAGAGTCGTTGTTCTCCATGAGAAGGAAGTGTTGCCCGTTTTCCAGTTACACAAGAGATGAGAGATGGGCTTCAAGGATAGCCTCATAGCCGTCCTGCTGGTCAGCGCCGGCGTCGGTGTCGCGGCCCAGAAACAGAATCAGACCCAGGGTCTGCACTCTCTCTTCGTTGCGTCGGGCAAGTTATTCTTCGGGACGGCAACGGACACCAACCTCTTCAAGGATGTTGAGTACCTGAAGATCGCAAATAATTCGAACGAGTTCGGGATCCGGGTCCCAGAGAACAGCCAGAAATGGCAGCCTACGGAGCCGAAAGAGGGGACTTTCGACTTTGCGAACTCGGACATGGTCGCCCTGACGAGCAGGCAAAACGGGCAGATGCTGAGGTGTCATACCTTGACATGGCACTCGCAACTCCCTGCTTTTGGTGACTAGCTTCTTACTTCTTCTCGAGTCTTCTGTTGTGTAGACTAACATTCAAATTCAGTGCAAACCAATGTGTGGACGCGCAAGACGCTGGTGGCGGCGATACAGACGCACATCGCCAACGTGGTGGGCCACTTCAAGGGACAGTGCTACAGCTGGGACGTGGTCAACGAGGCGCTCAACGAGAACGGCACGTTCCGCAACGACGTCTTCTTCCAGACGCTGGGCACCGAGTACATCCCCATCAGCTTCGCCGCCGCCGCCGAGGCCGACCCGGACGCCAAGCTGTACTACAACGACTTCAACCTCGAGACCACCGAGGCCAAGGCCGACGCCGCCGTGGCCATCGTGCGCCTGCTGCAGGCCGCCGACGTGCGCATCGACGGCCTCGGCTTCCAGGCCCACATGGACGTCGGCAGGACCCCCAACCAGACGGCCCTGGCCGCGACGCTGAACCGCTTCACCGCCCTGGGGCTCGAGGTCGCCTACACCGAGCTCGATATCCGCCACGCCAAGCTGCCGCCCAACGCGACGGACCTGCAGCAGCAGGCCAAGGACTACGTCAGCGTCGTGGGCTCGTGCCTGGCCGTTGCCAAGTGCGTGGGCATCGTGGTGTGGGAGTTCACCGACAAGTACAGCTGGATCCCCAGCACGTTCCCCGGCAAGGGTGACGCCTGCCTGTTCGACGCCAACTTCACCAAGAAGCCCGCGTATACGGCCGTCTTCAACCTGCTGACCGCGGCGGCGGCCACCGCGCCGCCTACGGGGGGCGTGAACGGAAACGGCACTAGGTTTGGTGCGTTTGGCGCCTCCGCGGGATCCGCGTCGACAATGACTACTGTTCCTACAGGTGGCCCCCAGGTAGCGGCCAAGAGTCAGGGGTCGGCACCTCTGGGTATTACCGGTCAACTGGGGTCTCTTTTGTCTTTCGCCCTGTTTGGGGTTTTTGTGTTTATATTATAATGAGGCCGGACCCTTGGAATAGAGGGGCGTTTGTGGCCGCTCGAGCGCAACGTACCTACCTACCTACTACTGGCATATGACTGGCTATGCCTTTTTCTCCTGTCTTGTGTTAATAAAGTTTCAATGGTAATCTTTTCATCACGCGTACGGAGATCCACTGTGGTGCGCAGTCCTGCCTTGGTGTGAGGAAGGTGCATCGGGCTCCTCAGCAGGCTATCTGAATTCCCAAGCTCTTTCCCGTCAGTGAAGGTTAAGAATACCCATCCACAACAGGTAGGTACCACAAACCTGTCTCCAGCTTGAAGCTTCACGCAGGGGGAAGGAGCACCTACGACGAGGAGTTTGCTTTGCCCAATCTCTCAATATAAATTAGGAGTTACTCTCCTCGCCATACCTCGTCGATCCCTGTTCTTCAAAGGTTCTCATCTACATACTAAACCTCCTCCTCGAAGCTCCAGAAAGCCTCCTTACCATCTAACAAGTTGGTCAACGATAATATATATCCAACACCACGATAGAGCAACGAGGCCAGCCAGCCCGCCCACATGCCCGTTCAGGGTGAATTCAGCGGAACCGCCGGCGAGCCGGAACTCCCTCTTACCCCAGCGTCCCGTCAAGGGCCAACACCCTGTTCCTATTGTCGCAGCGGTCGATTCCAGAATCTACCAGCCCGGACTGCCTTCCCAACCTCGACGATGCCGCCGCCGCCGCCGCCTGGAGGGCCGAGGCTCGCGCGCTGATGCGGCAGATAGCCGCCGCCACCGCCGCCGCCAACACCACCACCAATGCCACCACCAACGCCACAGCCAACACCGCCGCCGACGCCGCCGTCATCACGCCAACTATACCAGCAAGTTAAAGTCGAAGCACCCCAGGGAGGCGGCCCTACCGCGGAGACTAGAAGCGCCCTCGCCAGCGGGACGACGGTTGTGTATCTGCGCAGAGTGCAGGCAGGGTCTTGCAGGAGGGGCTGCGCAGCAGGTGCGTGCGGTGCGTGCATCTGTACCAGTATTACACATTCCCGCCGTACGAGCCGTCATGAGGGCTGTGGGGTGTGTGGCTTGGGTGGACACGTACGGGGACGTCTCGTGATGGGTTTTGGATTTTCTGGGTTTTCTGGAGTGCACCTGGATTGTCTTCCGCGCCATAGTAATTAATAACATCATGATCGTCATTGCATTGCCCTCATGCTTGGCATATCGCTATCGAAAGCCATCTAGAAAGGGGCAAATATGAGGACCGCCCCCGCTGTAACTCTGAAGCAGCCCCTGAGCCACCGTCACGGGGCGCTCAGCACCTCGCCGCAACTCACGGCAAGGTATGAATGACCTGGTCAGTTAGTCAGTTATCTTCGACGAAGGGGCAGTACCCGCGTCGAGGGCGTTTCCAACAATATTTTCGTCGAAGAGCAACTCTACCAGAGCGAGGACACTTTGGAGCATGGCAATCAAGGTAAGTAAGGAGGAAACGACGAAAGAGCGACGTACAGCCCGTTTGGTGGTCCACAACATTGCCATGATGATGTCGTCATGCTCAGGGCGGCAAACCTACCCCCTTTTCCAGACCCGGACAGTTTAAGCTTCACGGCAATGAGGGCTGGGCGGTCTCGACGAGGCAAACTAGGTAGTTAGGTTGCATATCGAAAGGCTGTTACGACCGATTTAGATGCTTGTCCTATCCTGGATTTGATTCTCTTGTTTGCAAACAATACTGAAGAGAGACCTAGTTGACTCAGTGACCTATGCCGCGGCCCCGGTTGGGGCTTAGCTTGTAGAGAGAAAGGTTGAAGAGGAGAAGATTTAGGCTACCCGCGCGGAAACTGTCCCAATCTCGATTTTGACAACTAACTTTCTTCTTCGCGACCTTTTGATGGGAGGACTGGACTTCCTTCCTTCCCCCTAGAAGCCTCACTCTCCTACCTAACAACAGCAACCATAAGATCTGCCATTGATTTGAGGAATCGATATTTCAGAGAGGTTTTCTTGTCCACAGTTCCAGATGCAGGTGTATCGGTTCTGGAGACAAAAGCAGAGTTACAAAAGACAGTTTCCCAGCTTGGGATCCAAAAAATGATCGTGACGAGGATCGAACTCGCAACCTTTTGATTGAACCGTTGATATGATCGTAGTCAAACGCCCTGCCATTAGGCCACACGACCAGATGATTGGCTGATACGGTGGATTGCGAAGGATATCAAGCTTGAGATTCTTCTCTGGGGAGAAGAGTTTTCTTTTCTTTTAGTCATTGGTCCAAAATGGCTCAGAAATGATGGGCCAAGTAATTAGGGGCTAAAGATCTGAGTGCGCCCCATTATTTGTCTCTTCAGTGCAAAGCCCAGGGACTAAATCCAAAGCGGGCTGAAATCAAGGAGACTAAATAGAGGCTCTTCACTCCATCAAACCATGGATGCTGCAAAACCTCGCCTGCGGTTGGGCGCTGTCTCGGATCAATCTTCATAACGTAGCCAATTCCTCATAACGTAGCCAAAGAAGTCAACATCCTCCTTTCTGATACTCCCAGGCGCGGAGGACAAGGGGAACGCTTGGTAGTTCTCTTCGAATTGTCGCAGTAACGGCAGAATCGAGTCATCAGCGAGGCCCTTGAGAGCCTCTATGCTAATGGGCCCGTAGAAGTCGTTTTGGATTTGGAGGACTGCCAAGGAGAGTTGCGTATCGCCTGACGGGGGCGCATCTTTTGGGAGGAATACGTAGTGCCCAGTTACCAACCAAAGTGATGCCCTGTAAACATGTTTATTAGACTCGGGGCACTTGGTTAGTACTACACGTCTGGGCATTTGCAAAAGCACTAACCGTGGCACCGAGTCCCCAAATACCAGCTTTGGTCGTCCACGGGATTCCAAGCGGCACCTCCGGAGCGCAGAATATCTCGGCGCCGATCAAGTGCCCTCCATCGTTTGAGACCACATCTGGCGGTGAAGCATCTCCTAGATCGCCAAGCTTGTATAGAGGACCTAGGGCACTGTTCTTGACGAGAATGTTGTCAGGTTTGACATCTACAGTAATAGATCAGTTAGTCAGTCTCACCAGCATAACAATCATCAATCATCAATCATCAACGCCTCTCCCCTGATAAGGACGAACCTGTGTGCACAATGTTATTATCGTGCAATACGGCAAGCGCTTGAAGTGCTGCCTTAAGAGCACGCTTCGCCTCTATTCTCGGGAGTTGCTTCTTCTTCAGTAAATCGAGGGCGTTGTTGTCCATATACTCCAGGACTAACGATTCCGGATCCGCAGTCTGGTCGACCAATTGACGGATGGAGTCGCATCCCTGGAAAAGCCGGAGCATCTGGGCTTCTTTCTCCAAGCGCTTCGCAGGGTCAGACTTTATAGTGACTCTCTTCTTATCCGGCCCGCTGCTACAAATTAGGAACAAGGTTCTCAAGAGACAATAGATGGGGTTACATCCGTAGCAAGCCATGGTCCTTCTGGGCGGTTTCGAAGTGGGGCGGCGATTGTGTAGGGGGAATTTCTACCCGGAGAGTCTGGCCGACGTCGAAGCGGAACATTGTGCTTGTGGATCTGAGCATGGCGAATGAAGGAAAACGGTGGTGCTACTGGGCAAAGAACTTCGAAGCTTGTGATAGCGAGTGTATGGGTTCAATTTGGGGTGGGGTAGCAGGCAGCAGGGATGGAGAAGACCTGCGTGGGGGAGTGGTTGCACCCAAGGACTGTCAGCGTTAAATGGCAACGGCCTCCTTTTACCACCGGTCAAGGCGGAAGACCCACGAGATCTCTCGCATTGTGGAGGGTAGGGACGACCTGGGGTGAAACATGACTCATCGCTGAGACGGAGTCTTGAGATTACGAACCCGGCTTGATATAGCAATGAGAAGGGTTGGCCTTGGCCTTGAAGGAGCGAGGCCCTGACAAGTTAACGGAGGTGGACTGTCGAGTGGGTGGATAGGAGGTAGATTGTTATGTGGCCGTCTTGAGATAATCGAAGTGCGCTGGATTCGAACTTTCCAAAATATATCTGCACGGTGTTTTCCGGCATAGCTGACGAACGCCACCGCTGTCAAAGCCGGACCTCTGCGGTCAGAAGATGGCGTGATTTAACAGGGGCAGCCCTTGGGTGGGAGTTGCAAGCTGAATACGGACTCGGCTTCTCGAAAGACGGCTTGGGCACGAACAGTCCCGAGTCGGCATGGCTGGAAGTCGGCAACCATCTCCCATGAAGAGGATACAGCGGGCCGTCGTATCAGCCCCTTGGGTATTATTGGGACAGCCGTGTAACACTGCGGCTCCGAGGGATCGCCATCCCTTCCCTACCCGGACTCAAAATCGTAAATTAGCCGAGTGCCGAACTGGGGAATATCTGCCACACGCTGGCATGATTTGCGTTCGCAGCCCTGTCAAAAGGGCCCGGATATCACCGACGAGAACCGTTGAAGAGACGCAGTTTGGCCCAGGCCCAAGGCGTTGGGCATTGGATTCCTCCTAACCTGGTTGTCGGGAACGAGTCAGGCAGTGGCCTTCTGCGATGGCGTCGCACAAGGAGCTCGGCAACGGGGGTTAATCTACGCGTAATAAAATCGGTTCGCTGCCAACGTGACACAGATGCGCTGTTCGTGATTAGCAACAACTTCCGTTGCGTCCGTTGCGGTCCTGAGCATGATAATATAAGCCAGAGCGCTGGGTGCTCCCGGGTCGCCTTGTCGAGCATGCAATAATAAAGCGTGTGTGAATCAGTGCTTGTCGTCGGCTACGAGGTGCCCTTACAGGCCAGGGGCACCGGGGAGGGTGATTCAGAGGCTTGGAGGAACTGGATATATAAGGACGGCGAGACCCAGGATCCTCGAATGACCTTGTTAGAACATCCATTGGCATCTTGGGAACTCGCCGGAACTCTCCAGACTAAGCTACCTTCACTTGCGACAGAGCTCTTTAAGTAACAACACATCTTGCGGCCAACCCCGGACGCCAGCCGTAGCCAGCCGACAGAGCCAAAATGTGTCTAGGACAGCCATATCGCTACCGCTGTGGACACATGCAGGTGGTATGGGCCAAGTGCATACACTCCCGCCACGTGCCTGGGACGGACTATTGTGACCCGTGCGGCAGAGAGAAGGACATGGCGATGGGCCCCACCATAAACACCGACACCCCCTGCCCGCTCCCGGGATGCCGGGGCCCGGAGCTGGGCATCTGGAGGTGCTGTAGGTGCGGGCACGACAAGAACAGGCGGGGCTGGTGCATGGGCGACGTCCGCGTGAACGGGCAGCCGAGGAGGGAGTGGGACCCGTCGTTGAACGGAGGAAACGGCGACTGGCGGTTGGTAACCGTCTGCGACCATGGCAACTGTGTCAGGTGCACCACCATCTGTAAGCTTACCCCCGACGGCGAGGATACTGCTCGATTCTAACCGAGGCTAGCCTGACCATCACATCTAGGGACCCGACCCCCATCGCCTCTGAGAGCGTTGCCAATGCCACCACCGCCGGCTCCACCACGAGAACAACCATGGCCATCCAAGCTACCGGCAGCGCGACCACGACTGCCCTCCTTTGTACCACGAGTAGATAGCCGACATCCCGATGTTCAGGATGGTCAAGGTGGTGACAGGCCGAGCGGGACCTAGAACCAGGAACGGGGAAGCAACTATTATGACTGAGGGGGACGGTCGAATGGCCGGTAACCGATGAGAGATGCCGGCCGGACAAGGGGGTGGGGGCGTTAGGGAGAAGATGGTCAGGGACTTCCGACCGAGGCTGGGATAGGGAGAGAGCCGGGAGAAAATGGATAAAGAAAAGAATAGATAGATAGAGAGCGAAGGGCTCAAGTCGGGGTTTGGCTTATTTTGGTTGATTGCGTTTAGACACAGGACTTCCTGTTGCGTTCCCAATCCAGTAGCGTTGCTTTTGGCAGCCAAAAAAATTGCACTCGCTATTTTCAGCCGGATGTCGCCAAACGAACATATTGACGGCATCGATCGCGGTGAATTACTTCTGGATTTCTGGACCCGGCCCGTCTATCTGAGGACGAAGACGTCGACATCGATTCATGATGCTGGCCTGCATATTCGTCACAGAAAAGCGACGGGGGGGAAGTGGATCGAGGGTTGCATGTGACACTCAACCTGGGAACATCAGCCACGTGTGTGCAGGGGGCTTTCCGACCACCCGTGCCACCTTGCAGGGGGTCTTTAATGGGTACGCATTACGAAAGGTGGGATGGAATGTGGAATGTGGAATGCGGAATGAATGGGAAAGTTCGGAAGTCCATCCATCCTGAATGTCCAGTCCTTTAAGTTTCAACTTCTCCGAGGATGTTTCCGCTGGTATGCAGAGATCGAGATGGTGGGCAGAACATTTTAGCCAAGGGAGGTCCAGGGTAGATCCCATTACTGCGGAGTACTTCCGTACACTACGCTTCACTAGTAGTTCAATCCCGAGGTCAGCTAGGGGAATCCGGAGCCTTTGTCCGTTTTCGTTACTTGCATGTACTTATGGGACTAGAGATGAAACTATCGCCAGGCTGGAGAAGGGCTGATGAGCAATGATGGATGGCATCATGGCACGATTTTGGGCTATTTGGAATGGGCCCATCCCGTGTCCGCATCCATCGGGGATCAAGATTTGTGAACGAAGCGAAATGCCCATTATATACGCATAGTAGTGTGTGTATTTATTGAGGTGATGCCTTAACCTTAACAAATGTTTCCCTGATGGATGTCGGGTTTTCCACATTGGATCTTAGCGGAGACCTTGCAGGCGGTGGCTGTTTTGAGCTTCACCCGCTTAGCGAAGCAGAGAGGTTGCAGCAGTGGAGCAGTGGGGATTCCAGGTTCCTGCATAATTCCCACATGGCTGCGCCAGGGAGCCGTTGGAGACTTTATGGGTGGTGCGGGACTGCAGCCTGACTGAGCCTGGAGTGCCAGGCAGAGAGAGAGCCTGTGCTTCAACACACCTCCTCCGGGTCTGACCCTCTTTCCTCTCTCCTTGCTGATCATTCCCAGATCCTCTACTCTCGGTCTGGCCACCTTCTCCTCCATCAGCTTTTGACTTTTTCCCAAAGCCGCCGTCGTCCGAAGCCCTGCAGACTCTAGTCCTCCACCCCAAGGGCAAATACACTAGAAGTCGGACGCATCCGGACTTCTTTGTCGATAACCAAACCCGCCACTTGCCACATTTGACCCAGTGTTTCACATCCATACCATACGCCACTTTCACTTCACACAGACACAATCCTCCCTTCAAGATGCCTGCCTCGCTGGATTCTGAGCGCCCAATCATGGTGCCTTCGGTATGTTCCTTCTTTTCCTACCCTTTGTTTGTTCACCTCCCGTCGCGGTTTGAATCTTCAGGGTGTAGATCTACTGGGGACCCTGGCTCCGAGGCGCCCTTAATTACACTACAAAAACGCATCCCAAACTGATCAGCTTACTCACTCATTCTTCCTCTTCATTCCATCCCTAGACCCGCACATCAGTACGATTTAGCACCTACAGCATGTCTCCCTCCGTCGCGCCCACCGTCCGCACCACCGACAGCGCCACCGCCGAGATCCACGACATCGAGAAGGGCCTCGACCGAATGGAGAACAAGGCCCTGTCCCAGCAGCGCGTCGTGCTGACCGAGGAGAAGAGCGCCAACCTCAGTAAGCTGGCCCTCGGCGCCAAGCTGGACCGCGCCCTCGGCCGGAGGATGCACGGCCAGGACGCCGTCATGCGGGAACGGAAGCCGAGCAACGCCGCCGACAAGGAGAAGATCTGAAGAGAGCCTCGCTTTTTCCCCATCGCTCCGACGACACCCACCGAGGAGGGGAGCGTTTTTGTGTCTCCGGGAGAGCATAACGTGCTCGAGTAACATTTTGTACCATTTCATATCGGCGATCGCTGCTTCGCTTCCACAACAGCAACAGCAGCAGCAGCATCAGGAAAGCACCCATCACCATCCCGACTGCTGGGGGTGATAATCAGTGCTGGCAGCCGGACGTGCAGCATAAGAGCTGTATACCCGGGGCGGGAGGGGTTTCTCCTTTGTCTATTATTTGGGGCTTCCTCTTCTTCATCGGGTTTCTACTATGGCATTTCATGGGCACGCCGGAAGGCCATCAGGGAGTGAAGGAGCGAAGGTCGGTTCTGCGCGTGCCTGGCTTGCAACAAGACAAAGGGGCAGCTGGTTGGGATATCCGCGCCGGCCCGCAAGTACTACTACGCCTGAAGTCGCGGCATATGTCCTGATATTACAGGCAAATAGACCAGGTCTGGGAATTGATGCCGCCAGGGGGTGATACAGAAAGGCTTGTTGTCGAACTCTGGATTCATTCCCGAGGCAATTTTCAGCTCTGGACGAGTACACACAAATCTCTCTCTCTCTCCATTTAACGCCGTGAAGTAAAAGAAACGTCCCTAGCTACTACCGCCTGGCCCAACTTCACACGGTAACCCGTAGAATGCCAGCATGGGGCTCCAACACACGCAAAATAAGGGCTAGTGTTCCACCACGGGAAACAGCATCTATCCATCCCGCATCGCAAAATCAAGCAATATACAGCTGCCAAGGCGTCCTAGGTACTCTCCAGGCGGCTTCCCTCTTCCCGCTTCCCACTTCCCCATCGCTCTGGGCCCCTCTCACTCCTTCTCCTCCTTCTCCTTCTCGCCATCCCCCCCCTTCTTAAGCTTCCCCTCAATCTCCCTCGCCAGCTCCACCAACTCCTTCTCCTCCCCCTCCATCTCCAGCCCGCGGCCGACCCACTCCCTCGCCTCGCCCAACCTCCCCATCTCCATCAGGCACCTCCCCCTCCGCCACCACGCCTTCGCATTCCCAGCCCTCTTGGCCTCGACGCTCGCCTCTGCGTCGACGGCGCCCTCGGCCCACCCCTGCAGCGCCATGTGCGCCTGCGCCCTGTTCCCGTACAGCTGCGCCACCTCCTCGCGCACCAGCTGGCCCGGCTCCCACGCGGGCCTCGTCAGCGCCATCTGCAGGCCCAGCGTGTAGAACTTGATGGCCTCGGCGAACCGCCCGCGCCGGAACTCGCCGTTTCCGGACTCGCGCAGCTTGGCCACGTTGGCCGACCGCTTCGGGTTGACGGGCACGGGGGGAGGGGGAACCGTCTGCGAGGCCTCGAGGCCCAGGAGGGCGCGGTGCAGCGCGTTGAGGGAGGTCAGCTCGGCGTCTAGGGCCTTGGTGCTGGGGCCGTGGGAGGAGATGGCTTTGGATTGGGGGTCGATCTTGAGGGGGAGGAGGGTGAAGGTGTCGAGGTCGGACATTTTGGCGGGTCCGTGGTTGGATTTTGTGTGTGTGTGTGTGTGTGTGTGTGTGCGTGCGTGTTTGTCCTGCTGCTCTTCGCCGTTGTGCCTTGTGTCCTGTGTCCCTCTGTGTGTCCTCGCGCGGGAGAGGCTGGCGGGATGTGCGCCTCGATGAGCCGCAAGAGGGATTTACTGGGGGGGGCCGAACTGATGCGGAGTGGCCTTTCCGGTATGGACTAGAAGGCGTCTGTCTCTCTGTGGTGTCTTTGCAGGAACGTCGTTGCTTGGAGTTGGAGAGTTACGTGAGTTTCTCAAGCCGGTTACGGTACGTACTTCGATTTGAGGACAGCTGGTGCATCGAACAATTGTTGGCCTTATCTTATCGCACGTGGGTGGGCACCCCATTAGCGCATAAGAGCTGTTAGTGGCTAATTGCCGGTTATTGAATTTCTACTCTCCGATATATGCATCGCTCCCTTGCCGGTGGGCACGAGCTGCCGCGACTTTGACCTTCAAGTCCAGTTGTCTTGTCAAGCATTAAAGATACGTAGGAATCACTAGAGAAATCACGAGCGCCTCTTGTTGTTGAGTACCTACCTAAGCAGCACAAATTGAAATACAAGCAAGCCTAACCTTTATTTCCGCCTCACAACGCTGGGATTTGACCGCGATGAATACTTGATTAGCCCCGAAAGTGCCTCTCGTCAACGACATTTTCCATGTTCCGACTTTTAAATCATAACCAAAGTGACATTGAGATAGGCCAAACTCCTAGACACTACCTTAGAGGAAAAACAACAGAACATAACCCACCGACCAGTTGGGAAACCAAACAATCATTTACGCACGGGCCACCCCCTTTTACCCGCTTTCAGCACAAGCTCAAACAAAACCTCGACTCCCAAACTCTTATTTTCAACTCCTATTGCCAAAGATAAACGGCCGCTGACCGTCCTGTCATCTCTCGAAATTTCGAGCCGGATTTCCGCCCCACACGCTAGATTTCGAAGCGCAAAATCCGCCAACTTTGTAAGCGACCCATCCGCCATGCCCGTCACGCCGGCATGTAGTTGTAGGTAGGGACAGGCGACCATTCGGTAAACATGTGGGAGACAAAATATAGCGGATGCTCCCAGCACCCGTCCTGACACGTTGTGGGTATGGTGGGGCCTGTGACATTTTGGATTACGGCGCCGATTAGTAGGTCAAGTAGTTAGGGAGTAAACACCGTAAACTGGACGGGGGGATCAACCTACGTCGCTTCGCGATTGTCTGGGTGCTCCATTTCACAAAATCTGCTTGTTCGGGAGTCATACGGCTCATGCGGCTGTTCATGCGGGTTTCCCAGTCAAAATTGGCTAGGTCCACGCATTTATAATACTGCCAGGCGCGCAGGAGTGTGTTGGCGCCCGCCTGCATCTGCTCGACAAAGAAGTCGAGAGGACCGTAACGAGTCTGGACAGGACAAGACAGTGAGCAACTCCCCTCGGGAGATTGTGGACGGAGAGGGGGGATCGCTGCATATTTACCGGGGCCAGGTTCTGCCGAGCGTGGCGATACCTATCCTGGGTGGAATGAGATATTTCATGGAGAAGCATGAAGATAGCCAGGTACATGGTGAACCAGCACGAGGGGTTATTGCTGTAGATAAACTCCACAAGTCGCTTCAGCACCAATGGAGCCGACCTTTTGAGAATGATCTCACTCTGGATGCTGTCGAACTGGGCGATGATGGTCCTTGGCAGGGAGAGCTTGTTGCCAAGAGGATAGTTGGCGTTCTGATTTGGTTGAATGCCGAGCGTCTCCTCGCCACATATCCACGATGATCCCGTCATGTGCCCTAACGGAGATGTTAACAGGCATAAACAATGCTAAGTTGGTAATATTGGAACAAGTAGTCCTTACTTATCGAAAACGTGAACTTGATCAGATCGTGCAGGAGTTTCTTCTCCGTGTTGGTTTTCTTCTCTTTGGTCTTCGGGTCCTCCACTTTGTCCTGCGGTGGTGCAAGGGGCGCGGCATGTCAGTCAAATGATGATGCGGGACCAAGGTCATAATTAAGGGAGGGAGCATACCTGAAGTTGATAGTAGTGCTCGAAGATCATGGCGTAAGTTCGCTCTACTAGCTCGTCAGATCCTCTCACAGCCTCAGTGAGGCCTTCCAATGCATGGTTCCTGAGATAAGCCTCAAAGACGGTGGCTGTCTCGTGAATATCGGCGAGGGCATATGGAGGCAAGTCTTGGGTCTCGGCGACGCCGTTATCAACCCAGCGTCGAACTAGGACATCGCCGTCGTTGGGGTTGAACCTCCGTACGCGCAGCGTTACAGGGGTGCGGCACAGGCCTTGGGTCATCTGGATGACGCGAATGTTGTCGTCTGCCCAGTCACCTACGTCTTTGACCTGCGTCCCCTCCCAGCGTCGGGTGAGTTTCAAGCCGCCTGAGCGATAGAGAACTATTGTGGTCACGTCGAGCCGAAAACAGAGAGAGTTGTGGATGGTCTTCTTTGTTTTAGAGACACTGAGACAGGTAAGACACGGTGCATCCCGATCATCCGGGTTATCTTTGTTTGGGATACACTACGGATGCTTTTTATTAAGAAATCTGCCATTTTGAGCGTAGGGGAATTCAGGGCAAGACACTTACACGAACATGTTGGGAACGGCATCGTAAACATGCATGCCACTCCCGAGCCTTGCGGGCTGCCTCGCGCTGCGCCTCAGTAAGTGGACCTCTTTGTTTTCTCTCACTCTGCTGCTCGAATGAATGAGAAACGATGTCAGTGACATCGACGCACTTCGTCTCGTCATACAGTTGGCCGTCGCGGAGTGAGAGATTTACAAAGGAACTGCTTCTTCGGGACGGTAAGCCATGCTGTTTGGACTCGTCAGGTGAGGGCTCACAGGGATACGAAAGTTCAACCACGGAGCTGCTCTGAGAGGGTGAACCAAAAGGGCTATCCTGTGGCGGGCGTCCGGCGTCTCTAGGCACGGTATCCGGGTGCATTTCTGCGACGACTGTCTCTTCAACATCGGAGAGATCAGCCGAGTGCGCCAGGGCTATGGGGATATCGTCCGAATTTGTCACAATATTGATGTAGCGGCCATAACTATCCGGGTGACTGCGTTGGTCAGGCATCGCGTGGTCTGGATGGTGATGATTTAAGTGAGAATTAACGGTGAAAGAGGGGTGTGGGCTGTTGGATGGGAAAGCAGCTGGCGGTGAGCAGGTTGGAGTAAGGCTGGGGCTGTAGTACCCTGTGAAGGTTGCAGGGGGTTGGGCCGTCGAATTCGAGGCGTGGTTGAGGAGTGTGAAGGTGCGAGGGCCGTTGGGGACGGCCTGGACAGGAACGCCAGTCTCCTGAGTGGAGGGGTGGTAGAGGCACTGGTATGACAGGAAGGAAGGGGTCGCTGGCGAGGCGATAGTCGGCAGGGTATGTCCAGGATGGGAGAACTGCACAGGCCGTTGGGAGTCTGGAGGATAAAGCGGCTGGGCCTGGGATTTATACGTCGCTGTGTGCTGGTGCAGATGGAAAGAGTCTTGACCTGCGGGAGGTGAGAGGGGTGATGGAATAATCCCACCGGTCACTTCATGGGAAGACGGTGCGAAGGGCCACGTTTGGTCAGGGGCGTTTGCGGCGAATGACTCTGACTGAACGGTTGAAGTCTCGGCCGGCAACGGTGGGCAATACGGCATCCGAGTGGCCGATCCAGCCGGGCTAAAGTCCAGAGGAGGGATGCGGTTCGTGTCGCCGTGGTGGCGGTATATAGGTGCACCCTCGGCGGAAATGAGATGACGAGTAATCAATGGGGTAGCCCGACTATGGCCGTGGAACCCCCCAAAGGCGTCCTCTCGGTATTCGCTAGAGTTGGACCAGAAAGGACCTGGGCTGAAGTAAGGTTGGACAGACAGGGCATGGACGGGTGGGGTCGCAAGGTGCCCGACTGCGCGTGGCCGTCGTTCGGCGTTGCAATAGCTTGTCGATGACTGTCGGATATCTGCAGCAAGCGGGCTGCCGGAACGCTTCGGCCTGGCCCGAGAGGTCTAAGAGAAGGGGACAACTACTGTCAATAGTGCCCAGGATGATAATGTGACGTGAAAGGGACCAGGGGGAGGGTTATACCGGCAAGAAGGTCGCCCCGTTTAGATAGGCTTCCATCTATATATTCGCTCAAGCTGCACCGGCTGTTGGAGACAGGTTCCCACCTGGACCCCTGGACCGCTCCCGTTCCACTCCACCAGTAACCTCCGCCACCACAGCCAGGAGGAAATTCGCCGAGGTTGGTTGGTGGTAGACACGACAAGGGAGGTATGGACGTACCTCGGATGCCTTCGATCTGGGTTGAGTGTCTGATGTGACAAGTTGCGTTCAGCAGGCCACAGATTGAATCCGGTGAATCCCAAATGGGTGTTTCAGGGGGGCGGGAAGGGGGGCCGATAGTTGAAGGCGGTGGGTAGCACGAGGGAAGAAAGGCAACGAGTCAAATGGCAGATGGATCCTCGCTCGTTAACCTGGAACCCATGCGACAGCTCGATTTCCTCTGCTGGGAAACCTAGTTTAGCTGTCTCGAACTATGCCTCCCACTAACTAGCCAGGAGGATCGAACCAACGGGCGAGCACACGAGAACCAACGGGCGAGCAGCACGAGAACCAACGGGCGAGCAGCACGAGTAGCAGCGAGCAACAGAGGGCGGCAGGCTCAGGCTGGCGTCCTCGCTAGGAATCAGGATGGCGTGTCTCCCGGCGCGGTGACAGGCCGGGATGCTCACCGCATGGCAAGAAATTCTGCTATTCAGTCCGGAAGGGCTTCGGCGAATGGTCAAAAGAGGCCCCTGTCGCCGGCTGTGATAGAGTGGCAACCCTAGGTAGTGAACCGCGCAATTGGGTCCTTGGAGCGGCAATACCCTCGCTCCTCCCCAGGGAACCGTAAACGGGGACGATGGGGGCGGGAATGGTGGGTTTGGCCCTACCTGGAATGCACCACACGGATAGTCGGGAGAGTGGAACAATGCAATTTGCTTCCTCGAGTGGAAAAAAAGGGCAAAAAGAAGGACGGGGCGGGAAACGCGGGGGAGCGGTGAGGGAACCCCTGTCGGTTGAGACCGGTGACTGCAAAAGGTGAAGGTGTGCAAGAGAAGGAACGAATTGAGGCGAGGGGGGCTGCTGGGCAAGAATGGAGGGGGCGATCAGGCTGACAGTCCAAGTCCAAGTGGAAGGAAGAGGAAGGAGGCTCGCGTCCATGGATTGGGTGGGGAGAATGCCCGGTTGGGGGAGGTGTCTCGCAAAGCTTCCATAATTACTCGGTCTTCCTTCCCCCCCATCCCATCACATCGCCCCATGATTCGGCCGTGAACAAAACCGGCGAACAATTTGCGCAATTCTTGCGAGAGGCTAAACCCCAACTGTAGCCGGTCACTACAAGAAACAAGCAAACAACTCCCAAGGAGACGGCCGCCCTCGCTCGGCCCTCGTCACCCACGTGTCTTCGCCTGCTGCGATCTGCTATGACATTACACCACATTACACCACAGCAAAATGGAGGTTGCCGTCATCACATATCACAAGAGGCCACAAAATCCCGCGTCCGCGTCCTAAGCGCCGACGCGAACCATTCCGCGGACAAGTTGTGCCATCATCCTTCTTTCTTCCAGTGCTCGCCTCGTTTACATGGGGCAATCAGAGGGTGCACCTGTCGCAAAATGTCGGCCAATCAAAGCTCTGGAGCTGCAGCCACCGGCATGTAGCGACAAAGTTATCGATACTCGGTTCAACTCACCGGTTTCACTTCGGGGATGGGCCCGGCCTCCAGCCGGCCATTCAACCCCCGACCCAGAAAGACATCCGAACAGAGAAATACCTAGGTAGATGAAGCCCCCAACAGTTGAGGAACTTACTTTGGCGGGCCGGTTGCTCCTGCGCGTAGGCCGCGTACCCCGAGATGTATTAAATGCAGCGCGATCAACTAAGTGGTCATTCAGGCCTTGCGTGTTGTTGAGACATTTGGCAAATAGTTGCGCCTCACGCGACCCGATCTCACCTCCCGCGCCCAACTGAAGCCGTGCGGACCGATCCGCATAGTTTGGCGCTAGATGCCCAAAGTACTCCGTACGGACCTTCTCAACGGCTGTCACCCCGCTGCTTGCCACGCCATGCCTAAACCGAGGCTCCGTGAGGATATTTCCCTACTCCCCATTTGCTTCGAGAATCGTTGTGGATCAACTTCCATGCTGCGGGTTTCAAGTTTTGGTCCGCTGCGCCATCTGTCTTAGACGGATGGGCCCGTCAAAAGGGGTGTAGAGGTAGTGGTGTTCTCCCAGACTCACCGGTTTGCTAGCCGTCTGCAGTCGACGTGTCTCCTTCCCCATGTCGTCGGCTGTAATGAGCGCAGCATTCGTTGAACAGCTGGCACGACTTGCCGCCGTTGGCTGCTGCCTTGAATGAATGGGAAAGGGATATAGGGGGCACAGGGCCGGATGTAGATTCTACGGGACTTGAAAGAGAGTTTGTCTTTTATCCTGTGATATTAAAAAGGGGGCAACCTGCACCTAGTTAGATACGGCGTCGTTATAAACCTACATAGTTAATCAGGGGGGGGGGGCTTCCTACCTCTAGCCCTCTCTTTCCGCTATCAGGAGTCTCTACCTATGTCGTTTTCCATGTTGCATGCAACTGCCCCGTCCCAAATGCTTTCTTCTGCTCGCCATGGGCTCCTCCCACGGGCCTAGAGCGGGAGACAGGAGGGCGTGGAGCCCAGATTGTTCGGTCTGGGGCCCCCCTCTGCCAAGCGGAGCATTATTTGGTCATTGACGATAGAACAAAAAGCCCGCTACTGACCTCCTGACTCCTCTGGCCGGTCTCCTTGCAGGAGCATCCTCGATATTCGTTGGCTAACCCGTAGGACGGTGGGATCGAGCCATCGAGCCGAGGAGACCGACTGGCCAGGACCACATCCATCAGAATTGCCACTGGCTCAAGTAGGATCGAACAAGCGATTTAATTAGCTATTGATTAGACAATGAGATGCACATACCCTCTTCAGGTGAGACAGAAGAAATGGAGGCTCTGCGGGAGGGAAGGACATCCATAGGGGGTTGCGCTCTTAAACGCTAGAGGCGATAGATAAACCACCCCCAACCCGCCCCCTTCCCCCCCTTGAGCTCGAGAGAACCAACAAGCAGCCATCTGGAAATACAACCCGTTCTTTGAAATCCTGAGACTCAAACACCTGGATTGCCATGTCTCCGTTTCGCTATCAGTCGCTCGGAGGGGGCTTGGATATGACTAGTGACGGAACTCGCCCGCAAATGGAACCCTTGGGAATGCGAGACAGCGAAAAGGGGGGTGCCGCCAGCGATTTTACTGGCCTGGCCATCCAAGCCGCCAGACAGCCGTGGACTTGGTCCGGCTCCGATTTTGTCAACTCCCCAAACCCGGACTCGTTCGTCATCCATCTGGACAACGAAGACATCAACGGGATCGAAGAAGCCCTCGCCGGGTTCAAGAGTTTGCACCCCGCTACTAGTCCCCCGCAACCCCCCCCCCTCCCCCCCCCCTTCCCCTTTTTCACTCCATCGCCTTTCCCATCGAGAGGGCTAATTTTTGCCTCCAGAACAGGAACTCGACGGAGACGAGGTCAACCGCAATAACTTCCCCCTTCCGACGCTCCAGCAGCGACTCGAGCGCGCCGCAATCGACATCCACCAGGGATGCGGCTTCTGCATAGTCCGTGGCGTGGATCCGACACGATACTCTCCCGAGGACAACCTCCTCATCTTCCTCGGAATTGCAGACTATATCGGGGACATCAGGGGGGTACAAGATCGAAAGGGGAATGTGATTTGTACGTGGCCAGTCCTCCTCCCCTGTTGTATTCTATCTGAGAGACTATCGAGTCGCCTTCAGAAACTAAACAAACTTGTGTCCCAAAGCCCACATCACCGACTCTAGCCTCTGGAAGGTATCCCACTCTCTCCGCCATGGGATCCACACCAACGCAGACTTGGTCAGTTGTTTCGTCAGTGGCGCTGTTTGTGTAAGTTGTTAACCGTTTCTGTTAGCCCTTCCACAACGACATGGGGACAGACCTCCTGGCCCTGCAAGTTCGACAATGTGCGAAGAAAGGAGGAGACACATACGTTGCATCTGCCTCAAAGTTGTTTTGCGAACTCGTCGCCACCGAGCCGGAAGCCGCGCAGGCCTTGTTGAAGCCCAACTGGCCGATCCAGATGTTAGTTTGCTTCCCCTCTCTCCTCCTTCCTCCCACCCGTTTCTCTCCTTTTATTTTCTGGCATCACCAGGCACAGCTAACATCCCCCACCCACAACCCCCAGCTCCGGCAACCCAGCCCGCCACGTCCTCGCGCCCCTGATGCAGCACCACAACGGCAAGATCATGACCAGCCTCGACCCAGGCCGCCTAGGGCAGCACCCGACGACGACCACCACCACCACCACCACCACGGGCAACCCGGCACCGGCGCCGCGCCCCCCTTTCCGATCCCACCCCCACGACCCTCCCCCCCCGACGCGCCGCCCAACCAACGCAACAGTCCCACCCCTAACACCGACCCAGCACCACGCCCTAGCCGCCCTCTCGGCCGCGGCGGCCAAGCACCGGCTCCGCCTCCCCTCGCGGCCGGGCGACGTCGTCTTCGTCAACAACTGGGCCCTGCTGCACGCGCGAGACTCGTACGTCGACGTCGACGACGACGGGGACGCCACGACGACGACGCGTCGCCACCTGCTGCGTCTGTGGCTGCGGAGCTCTCGCCTCGGCTGGGACGTCCCGGCCGCCATGAGGGCGCCCTGGGAGGCGGCTTTCGGGGCCGCCGGGAGGGCCGGGCGGGTGAGGCTGTACCCGGTCGTGCCGGCGCCGGTGTATAAGGTGCCCAAGTATACTTCTGGGTCGGCGGCGTTTGTTATTGAGGAGTCGGATGGGGAAGGGGAGGGAGAGATGGGGATGGCGAGGAGTGAAGAGTGAAAAAAGAGGGGTTTGTGTACCATGAGAATGGGCCCTTTTTTTTACAATCTCCGAGGCGGCATGCTTATTCTGCTTCATTCCTGCCAGGTCGAGGGAGATTCATGGTCTCGGTTAGTCTTCTCTGTTGCTTTGCCACGTTTTCCCCTGTTGAATTTGACAATGCGTCGTTGTTGACAGCTCTGTGCTTTCCCGCCGTCTTTCTCTATTTTTGCCCTGTTGTTGACCTATTTCTTTTTCCTCTTGGCTTGGTGCGTAACCATACTGTTTGCAATTTGTGTGCTCTTGTACAGCCAGCCTCTCACAGAGGCCTTGGTTGCCATAAGATGCCTCACCAAAAAGGAGGAACGGGAAAATGTTGGCATCATTGCTCTCTGCTGCATGAGGTGCCACCTTTCCCCGGGACGTTATGTTGGACGTGCTGTTCTGTTGGACACTCGTTTTGAAGCGATCTCATCTCATAACTATTTTCATACGTTATCAAATTCACCCCTGAGAGGCGGATGCAGTCGCAGTACAGCAGATAAGGGTCTGGCCCAAACCTTGCGTTTACTGGACTACAGCCCCTCCAACTACCGTCGTTTATGTTATGTCCTTGTTTCTATTTTCCAGCGACCTCGAATATATTTATATATGGGTTATGAATCTATTTACTTTCGTCTCAGAAGTGATGCTTCTCAGGCAAATTCCGGCTCTTGACTAACCCCTGACACTCCGACATGACATGGGTCTGGATAAAATAATCCCTCGTTAACCGTCGGACACACAAGAAACGAGCTATAGGTTTAAATCCTTTCCCCTCGTTGTCAAAGAGCTGATATTCTCAACTGTCCTCCAAAATCCACTTCTACAGATTTGGCCTTCTCGGCTCTTCTCTCGCATTTCTACAGGATATCTTGCCCTCGCGATTGAGTTAAAGGGAATGGATACCAGTTACCCCAAAACGGTATGTAATTGCAAGATTGCTCATCCTTACGTCCTGCTGTTCGAAGTCCGTTCACTGTCCTGAACTGAATTCTTCTATTCCGCCCTCAAGCAAGGGTGGCAGACCAACTAACATTCTGGGGCTTGCCCTCTTCCTCATACGAACCTAATCCCAATCATACCTGGTCAGAGCTTGTCCCGACCACCCCCTCTATGCTGCTGCGAAGGTATCTCAGTATGATGCCTCGAGGAAGACCAGGCCCTCCGAAAGACGCCCACTTCCCCTTCCATGTGACTTTCTGCTGTCGGAATGCCCATTAACCAGATAGAGCACCTTCTTGACTTTGCTGCAAGCCTCATCAAATGAAACGAAACGGGTAGGAATCACAACCAACAGGGGCTCGACTGTTAGGGAATCCTGACACACGAGTTCTGACTGCTAGTCACTGGTATAAGAGGGTCAGTGAAGGCCGTGTACGAGGCTATGAAATGGTCATTCTAGAGATGTCGCACATAAGCCATTTCCGGCAGTGATAACCATCACGGGCGCAAAGGACAGTCAGACCTACAAACCCCCAGCACCTTCCCCTCCCTTCGGCCTCAGCCTCTCGCGTATCTGCGCAACCTCCTTCTCCGAAAACCCCAAGCTATCCCTCAAGTACCCCTCCGCGCCGCCGTGCTCCCTCCGCAGACGGCCCACAAAGTCGACCATGACCGCCGCGTCCGTGGACAGGAACTCCCGCATCCCGGGGGTGTTCAGATCAGCGGCACCACCGCCGCCGGCCACGGCGGCTCCAGCGCCGTAGGCCTTGAGGACGATGGGCAGGAGCATCTCGCGGAAGGGCTCGGTGCCGATGCGCGTGAGGGCGTATTCCTGCGCGATCTGCTCGGCGGGGACGCCCATCAGGTCGAGGATGAGCGCCGACATGACGCCGGTGCGGTCCTTTCCACCTGTGGGTTGGGCGAGCTTGTCAGCACCGATGCATGCCTTCTTCCAATGGTGCACCCGCCAAAGACGGTAATCAATCCGGAGCAAGGGTAAGGGGCAGCAAGCAGGAGAGGATAAACCAAAACCATCGGGGACTCAATCACCTGTGCAATGGAACAGCACCGCCTCCCCCTCCGCCACAGTCCGCAACCCCTCAAAAACCATCCTAAACCCAGTCCTGTACCCCCGCAAGATATCATCATACATATCCCGATACCCCACCCCAAGCACCCCGCCCTCCCCCGCCGCAAAGTCCCCAACCACAACCGGCCGCGGCACCTCCGCGCCATCCATGTACGGGCACGCCAGCACCTCAACAACCTCCTCCTCCTCCTCCTCCTCCTCTCCCCCGGCGGCGCCGCTGCGCTGCCGTCCCTTCTCGTCGGCGCGCCGGAAGTCATACACGCGCGACACGCCGAGGCGCGAGCGCAGCAGGGACGACAGGTGCTGCCCCTGCTCTGCGCGGTTGTCGAGCGTCCCCGACCGGAAGGCGGCGCCGGGGCGCACGTGGGAGGGGAACAGGGCGCCCACGTCGCGGAGGTTGAGGGAGCCCGGGATGGAGGGGGCGAAGGGCGGGGCGGAGAGGGCGGTGGCGAGGAGGTCCGCAGGGATGGGGGTGTCTAGGGGGGTTGATGATAGGCGGGTTAGGAGGTCTTTGTCTGGGGTGGTGGTGGAGGTCATGGTGGATGGTGGCTTGGGTGGGTGTCATCCAAACTTGGTCGCTTTCACGGGGAGAGGGGCACTCTTTATCTTGTAGTTTGGTGGATTGAATGGAGTCGCAGCTTGTCGAAAACTGGACGTGTCAGATGCCGTGTTGATGCGGGCCAACTTTCCCACCGGCTGCGGTCAGACTTCGCCGTACAGCTTGCATCGGGCGGGCTCGGTACAACAATTCGACATGATCGGCCCATCTCGAAACGCCGAGACGGTACCTCGGCGGAAAGCAGAGAATCTTTGTTTTGGAGACAATGATCAAAGCGTGGCAGTCCAAAATTGAGTGAGTTTCAACTAATATCTAACTAGCATGCGCAGTCCTGAACGTGAAATGAAGCCGGCTAGAGGTTTTATCTCTTTTCTCCGAATGGGAATGACTCTTATAGAGCTTACTCTGTAAGCCTAGACTTGATTCAAGAAGCCGAGCAATTGGATTGTTCGACGCTGCCCTAGCAACCACAGAGAGCTCAGTGGCGGGCTCGCTTTTCTCTAGACACATGCTCCGTTGGCTGAAGGCGAACTCATCTGTAAGAATACTCAATGCTTTATCGGAATTCTTGCTGTATCTACACGTCAGGTCTCTTAGAACTCGCGCTGCTCTTGGCCAAGGCAGAACTGAGCGCATTTTCAGCATTCTCGAGACCTTTTCGCTGAGCCAGCAAGGAGAGGGTATCCCGAACGTGACCGGCACGGCATATACGCACTTCATGGGCATCAGACCGATGACAAGGCGAAAGACATTGTGTACATTGGACAGAGCAGTTCAATGAGGTCGGACTCGACCGGTTCTCGGGGGCCACCCTCAGGGAGATTATAGCTGGCCTTCTGATATTGACCGTTACGATGCATTAGCTTCTACGACTGTGGAAGCCCCTTTCGCAGCATCTGGTATGGTTAGAAATCCCCAGGAGACTTTGACCGTTCACTCCAGTCTCTGTGGACAGAGTCAGCTGGCGCAGCACCGCCCTTGGACTTTTCGAATTCTATCCAGTATAATGAGGAAGCTTCACCAGAATGTATTCGACGTGGACTCGAAGACTGTATCGACAGAACCCGGATATTAAAGGGAAGAAAGAAGGGTTCAAGACAGATCAAAGCGACGGCCTGGACTCTACCAAGGCAGGAAGGAGATTGCTGACAGTGTCAACCACGTCAATGGTTATGTAGAATTCAAGCCAGTTATTGCAGTGTCTATTCCTTTCTACCCACAATATAGCAAGTGGACTTGGGTGCGCATGGGTTCGGGTTTTCACAGCTACGATGCTAATTCCGGTTTCTACTTTTATCTAAGCGTGCATGGGCATGGCGGTCTTTTACTCTTCCCCTCCCCACGAATCCCCAGTGTTTCCCTTCGCTCGTCAAGGTAGCCAGGCTCCTCTATGAGAGGGGTTCACCCCGCTGGATCTTGGCCGCACCATACTTCTCCAGTCGGATCGCCTGGATGGCAATGAAGCCAGTGGTATCCTCCGGGCTGAAACCTTCGAGGGTGTCCATGCTAGCCTGTTCCTCACTGTATAGATTGCTCTCAGGCGCGGACCGGGAAAGGACGTGAGCTGCGCCCTTGTAGACCATCATGTTAACCTTGCCATGGACGTGCTTTTGGCTGAATACGATGGAGTTTTCTAGGGGTTATAGTTAGCGAGAATTGGATCAACAGTGTCGACTATGGATAGTTTCAAGACGTACCGAGGAGTTCACGCTCAGGGGAGAAGTACATGCCTAAATCATATGTTAGAGAGGAAGGAGTAAGAGAGCAAGACAGGCGACAAACATACCATTATAGAGGCATTGGGACCACTCATTTCCAATCCAGGACGTGATTGACTTGACCTTGGAGTCGACAGTTATACCCTCGATATCGATGTGTGCGAGACGGAGCACGGTCAAGGCAGGGGAATCGTAGCAGCCCCTCGACTTGAGCGAGATGAATCGATAGGGCTGTCAGTACAAGAGCAAGAGAGCCTCAGGGAGAGGATACCAACCGAGACTCAACAATATCTACCCTTCCAACACCGTTGCGGCCGGCAATCTCATTGAGAGCCTTGAAGAGCTCGAGCGAACCAGTGACGGTCTCGCCGCCCTCCACCTCGAGCTTGACAGGGATGCCCTCCCTGAACGTGATGGAGAACTTGGTCGGGACATCGGGCGCGTCGAGGGGGTCTAAATACCACAGGGATCAGTTGATTCCTACACCACACTAAACCGCGGTCAGTTAGGGGTAATGTAAGTTGTACGCACCAACAGTTCGGGTCCAGACATTTTTAGGCGCAGGCATATCTGGCTTCTCAAGAATTCCACTTTCGTAGCTGCAGTGTGCCAGGTTATCTAATCGAAGGTCAGAAAGACAAAGCGTCGTTAGATGTATATTTGGCTCCGTGACGCACCATCTTGAGACCAAGGAGCCTTGGGAGTGGACGAGACGGGTATGTTGTTCTCCGCGGCGAACTTTAGGAGGTCTTGTCGGCCCCTATTATCATATATCAGAGATTGTCGAACAAGATGTGATCACCAAAGCTCACTGGAAGCGGTTGAAGAAGGATGGCATCCTCCAAGGAATGACAACGGAGAGACTCTGGTAGGACTTGGTCAGTTTCCCTGTTGCGGACGGTTCGGCGAGCAGGCTATACTAACAGGATCGCATGCTTTCCAAGCTAGTTCGAAGCGGACCTGGCTGCGGTTTGTCAGTCTCCCTGACGATTGGCCAATGATATTCCGCAAGGACGTACTCATTCTACACAACATTAGCAGGGACTTTACAAAAGCTTGGGGGAGGAATAACGTACGCCCTTGCCTGTGCAACCGTGGCTGAGAATCTTGCAGTTGTACTTGTGAGCAGCTCGGACCTGCGCCCGAGCAATGACTGGACGAGCAAGGCTGGTTCCAAGGAGATATCTAACAGCATTGTAAGTTAGAGGTGGCCAAAGGAAGGGGGTCGGAGGATAGGACTCACCGGTCCTCATATATCGCGTTGCCTGTTGTTCACTGGTGTCAGTCATCTCTACTAAGAAACCCTCGCCCACCGCTATGTCTGGACAAGGGCGGGCAAGATGACATACATTGGATGGCGCGGAAGATGAGCTCGTCGACAAATTCCTGCTGCAGGTTATCGATAACCATGCGCTCGGCACCGAGAGCCAGAGCCTTCTTCTCGACCTCAGCGAAATCTTCAACCTGGCCTACATCGGCGAGGAAGGCCTGGAGGCGGTCTGGGTCAGCATTGGGTTCGAGATCGATTAGGACGAGAAGGAACATACGACGACGGTGTAGCCCTATGATGAAGAATACGTCAGCAAGGCAATCGATACAAGACGAGACTTCGAAGAGATGTTTACCTCGAGAATGAGCCACTTGAGGATAGTCGAGGTGTCAAGACCTGCGTGGCATTAGCACTCGAGGTCCATCGTGGGGCCTATCGGGGGGTTCATCGGGCGATCATCGGAGGGAGGGAGGGACAGCGAATGAAGCGCGTACCTCCAGAGTAGGCGCTGTAAGCAATATTAGCCTAGGTCCCAATATGGATGAGTATGAGAAATCTCTTACAGGCAGACTCGTTTGTCGGAAGACATGATTGCAAGTATTGTTGCGGCGCGTGAGGTGGGAAGCGTTAAGTGGGATGTGGGATCTGTGATGTGCCTTGGAGGACGAAGGGATCCTTATTATTACTCACCGTAGGTATCTACTCAGAAAATTTTGACCGACGCTAAGAATAGCTAGGCTAGGCTTATCTAAGCCTAGCGTTGGCGATCTTGCCTGGCCTTTTTTCAACCTCAAATCCCCGAGGACAGGAAGCTGGCGTTGCAGACTGGCTGATCAATTGATCTAAAAGGCGTAAAGAGTGATTAAATCAAATGCAGTAAATCAGATATGTATGGGAAAGCAGATGGGCACCATCAGGAGAGACTTGTGCAGTTTGCACGACCGTGTTGGAGGCAGCCACGCGCCTAGATATAAAACTTCCCATCCATATATGCTTCAAGGGTATCGACCGCAAATATACATACACAACCCATATGCCAGCAATACAGCAGAATCCCCGCTTATTGCACCTCCCCAAAGGGATAGTTGAACTTGAGCAGCCCATTCAGCCCACCGACCCACGAGTCGTCGTCCTCGGCGATGCCATCGGCGCCGTCCCCGCCCTTCCCGGGTGCGCGTATCACGCACGGCACGCCGCCCTGCCAGGTGCCCGCGTCGCCGGTCCGGTGCAGCCTCTCGCCCTCGATTCGGATCTCCATGCCGATGCCGACGCCGGCCCTCCGCTTCCCGTCGATGCTGACGGGGAGCTCGCGGCCGCGGTTGCGCTTGCTGAGCCGGAGGACCACCTTGGTGTTGAGCGGCAGCACCAGCGGCCGGAAGCTCAGGCTCCGCGCGCTGATGGGCGTGATGAGCAGCGACTTGACGAGCGGGTGCACGATGGACCCGCCCGCGCTGAGGGAGTAGGCCGTTGACCCCGTGGGTGTGCTTATGATGATGCCGTCCGCCACCGCCTCCGTCAGGAACGCGTTGTTGACGTAGATGTCGATGATGGCGAGATGCGGGTGAGCACCGCGGTCGATCGAGACTTCGTTGATGGCGTGGATGGACTTGGGTTCTCTCTTGCCGGGGCTCGCCATGGGCTGCTGACCCAGGGGGGACCCTGGCCCGTCTATGGGCAACCGCAGGTCTGGATCCGCTGTCGAGGTCGGCATCACCTGCTCGTTGATGTTGACCCCGTTGCTGTCATAGATGCCGACCTTGAGTCGATGTCGCAGCAGGATCTTGGATGCCCGGGTGACGCCCATGCTCTTTCCACGGACGCTCTCCCAGCCGGCGAACTTCGAGGCCCCGTAGTCATCTTCTGTCGCTGTCCTTGACCGTCCAGTCGTCGCCGCAGCCTGCGTATGGGGTGCGACCAGGTCTTCGGCTGCGACATTGCTCCCACTCATGTACGCTTCCCGCCAGGCGCGCTTGTATTCCTCAAATCTCCATTCGCCTAAGAACCCCAGCGAGCCCATGCTGAATGACAGGATCGGCGGCACGCTGGACTCCATGGAGAAAAGACTCGCGGCGCGGAGGATTGTGCCGTCTCCTCCCAATGTTGTTACCAAGTCGACCTTCTTTGGAAATACCCCTCCGACTGTATGAGGCGCCGTGGTGTATACGGGGAACGGGAGCTGTTCGTGGACGCTCTCGGCTATGCGCTGCTCGAACACGAGGTTTAGGCCTGGGTAGTTGCTGTGTATGTGCTTCGCAAACTCGACGGCCGATACCGTCACGTGCGACGCATGCAACTTCGGCATCAGGAGGATGTTGCGCGGTGGTTGGGGCCATCGCAGCGAGAGGAGCGACGATGTAGGCGTTTGATCGTAGCTGGGGATGATGCGATCGGGGAGTGTCGCCACATCCAAGATCTGACTCCGTGATGCCGATAAGCAGAAGGGTCTCGACGGCATCGAAAAGCCCCGCCGCAGAGGACATGGGGAGCTGAGACGATGCCTAGAAGACCTTAGTCTATTCATGCTGGCCGGGGTTGTTGCTGTCGTGGAGCTCCCAAAGAGGGCGTAGTGCAAAGGTCGCGACCACGACATGCCGACATGATCAAACCTGTTGCAGATTTGGGGTCTGTAATACTGCCGGATACCATGGTTAGGGTATGGCCATCGTCGCATCGAGCGTGGGAAGAACCCTCCGGAAGTATTGTTGGCAGCAGGGTTGAGGCAGCAGGTTTCGAGTTCAGAGTTGGCGGGTTGAGCTTGGGGAAAATTACCTGCTGGAGGAGCCGATGTTAGCCAGGAAAGTTAAACCAACCAACCAATGAGCGGGCACCTATTCTTCCCCAAGTTATGTCATTCGAAGCACATGCCAATCGAAGCTTGTCTGGGGCACGTGGTGCAGTCATAGCGGGGCTGGTGCCCTTTTCTCTGTTGCCTGCCCGCGTGGCCCGCCCCGAGGTAGGGTTCAATGTAGATGATGCCTGCATCTTGGGGGGAAGAAACTATTCACTACAGCACTAAGATCGAACCCTGCTCTTTGTCCTCTTTGCTCTCCTTGCCCTCTTTGTTTATGGCGTCGTGGCTCTAGGATATGGTATGGATTCTGCCTACCCTGCCCTTCCAAAAAGGCCTACCGTGCAACGGTAGAAGCTCAGCCGCTTTCGTTCCCCTCGACAGCTCCAACCACACATAGGTACCTTGCTTGCGTGGCACAACAGCCCCCGAGGTCTGCCTGCCTGGGCCGCCTTTCCCTCTTACCTCTTGCGCTGTATCCACCGTTTATATACCCCCCATACAGCTCTGTCTCTCCTCTTCTAGACCCTTCGTCGTGCCACCAGCCCAAGATCCGGCATCTTCGGAGCACCGCCGCCACCATGGCTACCGAGCTCCGCCAGCGCACCACCCAGCGGGATTCTCCCGTCATTCCCGGCCCCAACCTCGGCGCCGGAGCAGCTGCCAGTATCCCGGCGAAAGATGCGCATCCTTCCGGGAAAGAGAAGCACGGCCGGCTGATCCAGGTGCTCAGAGGGGCGTCGTTCGGGATATACTTCATATCGTGCTGCATAGCGTAGGATTCCCCCCCCCGCGCCCCGGGAGTGCCCCCCGGAGCTCGAGAACGCTGCTGACTCGATGTGCGGCAGCATCCACATAACGCAGATCCTCGGCGCGCCGCTGTACTGGGTCAACCGCGATCTTTACGATACCTACATGACGTTGACGAAACAATCCTTCGGCCTGCTCGTCACGACCATGACGCACTGGTGGAGCCCGACCACGATCAGGATAAGCGGCGATGCGTCTGTGGCCGGGCAAATCAGGAAGACGAGTGACGGCCGGGTCGAGTTCGCCTTCCCGGAAAGGATGGTCATGATTGCGAATCATCAGGTGTGTTTCCGCCCTTTCCGGGCCCTGGCCGCGTCTGGAGGTACAATGGGACTAACTGGCCGCTGTTCCAGATTTACACGGACTGGCTCTACCTCTGGTGGGTGGGCTACGCAAACAACCCCCAGATGCACGGATATCTGTACATCATCCTGAAGGAGTCGCTCAAGTACCTCCCTGTGATCGGCCCCGGCATGATGTTCTACGGCTTCATATTCATGTCTCGCAAGATGTCCGTGGACCAGCCGCGGATGGCCCACCGCCTTGGCAAGCTCAAGACGCAACACACGGCCCCCAGCGGGAAGAAGTTCCTCAACCCCATGTGGTTGTTGCTGTTCCCGGAAGGAACAAATGCGTCGCAGAACGGGCGGGACAAGTCGGCCAAGTGGGCGGACAAAGTTGGCATCAAGGATACGCAGCACGTCCTGCTCCCGCGGAGCACTGGCATGTACTTTTGCCTCAGCGAACTGCAGGGCACAGTCGAGTACGTGTACGACTGCACGGTCGCATACGAGGGCATTCCGTAAGTTCTTGGTTATACGCAAATGCGAAAAAAGGTATCCTCTGCTAACACTGGCGTTCCCTCCCAGTCGCGGCAAGTTCGGCGAGCAGTACTTCTCCCTCTCGAGCACCTACTTCCAGGGCCGTCCGCCAAAGTCGGTCAACCTCTACTGGCGCCGCTTCCGCGTGGCCGACATCCCGCTCGACGACGCGACCTCCTTTGAGGTGTGGCTACGCGACAGGTGGTACGAGAAGGACGCGCTGCTGGAGCAGTACGTCTCCACCGGCCGGTTCCCGCCCAGCCCCGGCGAGGTCGTGCCCAAGGGCGAGGGGCCATTCGTCGAGACCGAGGTTCGCACCCAGTTCTGGTGGGAGTGGGTCCAGATCTTTGTTGTCCTGGGCGTCTTCGGTTTGTTTGCCAACGTGATCTGCAAGACGTGGGCGAGCGTGTCCCATGTTGTCTTCTGATGTCGCTTCCCCACGAAGCATCGCTCGCTCTCATCATTTTCCCTCTTCTCCTTTTATTACTTATTCTCGCTGGGGATGGGAGTACACGGGCGGTGACATGTTTTCCACGGGATTCCATCGGGGTCGATCTGGTCTGTTTTCCAAGGGAGTGCTTGAATGGGATGGACCCTGTTTCGGATGCGACGGTGTTGGTCTGGTTAAGATTAGGACGGCGTGCTTCTGGATACCTAGATTGGTAGCACTCGCAAGATTTGGAAGTGGTTATGACTGAACGCCAAGGAGATTCGCTTGCAAATGCGTGGGTTATGTAGGAGTCGGAACGGGAATTGTCGGCGATGGCCCACGTCCAATGATGAATCTTCACTCAAGTCTCATGGCGGCAGTTCCAATGGTGTCACATGGCTTCTGTGGAGGAGGTGCAAACAGGAGCACCGGCTGCCAGTGTTTCTGCCCGTCAACAGCTGGGACCGAGCCGTCGGGAACGGTTCCCAACCTTCAGGGGTGCATAAACAAACACCCGGCACGTCGACGTCAGAGCGGGATCAACCAAACCTTGTCTATTCAGCTTGGCCTCCAACTCCCTGGGCGAATCCGTCCAAGGCATCCCCACACTTTGCGCTGCCGCATCGTCCGCACAGCGCCACGAACGCCCCGACTGCCCGGACCCGGTGGAGAAGTTCTGCGTGCAGAGCCCGCCGCCCAACGGGACGATCCTGTGGTTCATCGCGTGCCACGCCGAGGACTGGTCGTGCGTCTACAAGTCAACGGCACGTAGCCACGCAGCTAGAAACTGCGTATGACACCACACGGTTTCGTCAACTTTTGACTTGTTGATATTCGGCGTTCAGGGAATTGTCTCCGGCTTGGTTTTTGCGATGAGTAATGCCCTTGCATTACGAGTTGTACAGAGTAAGCACATCACCGCCGCCGGAAATTTGGGTACTCCCTTATACGGCTATGATTGGCGCCATGCAGGAGGATATCAAAATAAAAGCTGGCCAGCCGGACGTCAACCCCTCGAACCGTCCCTTCTCCCAACCACTCGACTGCAGCTCTCGTAAAATTGTGCAGGAATTGTAGGCAACTAATATGACGAAGTCGTTGGTTCATGCTAGCATCGCGCTGCTGCTCTTCATCGGTGCCACGATTGCAGATCCCAAAGTTGTGGATTCAAGACACAACGTGACATACGAAGGACTCGATCGGAATGGAATCGAAGTTTTCCTCAACATTCCATATGGCCTGGACACGGGAGGCGCAAACCGTTTCAAGCCCCCGAGGCCGCATGTCCCCGTCGCCGGAAGAAGCATCAGTGCCAAATCCTACGGCCCCTCTTGTCCCCAGCAGCTCGGACAATGGGTTCCGCCCATCTCGCTGGGCAACATCACCGACATCTCCGAGGACTGCCTGAACCTGAACGTGGCGAGGCCGAGGCGCGCGTGTGCCAAGGGTCCGCTGCCTGTCCTGGTGTATATCCACGGCGGCAGCTTCTGGGCCGGCAACAACCACGATCCCACCATCTTGCCGGACGGAATGGTTCTCGAGTCCGTCCGGAATGGGCTGCCGGTTATTCATGTTGCGCTGAACTACCGCCTGGGCTGTAAGGAGGTCCCGAATCCCTTCCATGTTCGAGACAACGGTTGCTGATCCTGATTCCAGTTTTCGGGTTTGCGCAGTCCGATGCCCTCAGGTCCGAGGGTTCGGAAAACGCTGGTCTGAGAGACCAGCGACTTGCTATCGAGTGGGTGAGGGACAATATCGAACACTTCGGCGGTGATCCGGAGAGAATCACTATTTTCGGCCAGTCTTCGGGAGGTACGGTTTGCTTCACTGGCCTAAACTCTGTTCCCCGAGTCTGGGTCTCCTTGTTTCTGACAAGAAATCAGGCCTGTCCGTCGGCATGCAGATCATGGCTTATGGTGCCAGCAAGCCGGTGCCCTTCCAGCAAGGAATATGCCAGAGCCAAGCTCTTGAGCCTGGCATTACGGGGAATTTTACTATTGATGCCATGGGGGCCCTGGTCGACTATATTGGTTGCAATGCGACTGGCCTGCACTCGGAGGCAACAGTTGCCTGCCTGAGGGGCTTCGACATGGAGACCCTCCTCGACGCGTCGTTGGCCACGTATCAGTCCGACATCGTCCACAACATCGGCGACATCTGGCTCCCCGTCGTCGACGGCGATTTCCTCCCCGCCGCCCCCTCACAGCTGATAGAGGCCGGCCGGTTCGCCAACGTGACGACCATGATCGGGTGGTGCGACGACGACGTGACCTTCTTCACCGACTTCGACATCAAGACCCCAGACGACACCTACAACTTCATCTCTTCCTACGTCCCGGGCTTGACCCGCGAGAACATCAACGGGCTCCTCTCGCTCTACCCGGCCTCCGACTTCCCGGCAGACGAGTCAGCATCCCTATCTAGCGAGTTCTACCGCTCGGCGCGGATCTTCCGCGACATCCTCATGACCTGCCAGCCGATGTGGTACGGCGAGCACCTCGCCCGGGCCGGCAACGACGTCTACCTGTACGACTGGAACCAGACGATCCTGGACCCCATCCTGGCGCACCTCTACAACCAGTCCGGCCTGGGCGCCATCCACACGTCCGAGTTCGCCTACGTCTTCGGCAACCTCTCGCACTACGACACGGCCGGATACCCGTTCGACCCCGCGCCCGAGGACTACGCGCTCAGGGACCGGGGCTCGCGGTCGTGGTCCACGTTCGCCGGCGTCGGGAGGCCCGGGCTGGAGGGCCACGACACGTTCAGGGGCTTCGAGCCAGCATTCTCCGGGGACCGGGACGAGGTCGGCATCTTCGTCGCGGGGGGGCCGGACGAGGGGTTGTCTGCTATTGACGGGCCGCGTGCGAAGAAGGCTCTGCGTGTCCAGAGGTTGAGGGAGAGATGCGCGTTTATCAACTCTCCTGAGATTATCGAGCAGTTGAGATATTAGTGTTGGTTGTCTTGGATTCGGGAATCTGGCAAGGTGTGATTATGTGATACTTGTGGACTTGTTAGGTCACGCCTAACTGTAGGCGTTGTTTATACAAAGTAGAGGACGGGATCCAACTTTGTATAGTTAGTTCGCGTATCAGACCCTGCTGGGGCAAGCTCCCGAGGACGTGGCGTGGTTGGTTTGCATGGGACTGCCCAGTAGGTGTTGTGTAAGTGCAAGGAAGGTCGGTGATTTTGATTAGACTAGATTTTCTAGAGTGTTAGGGAGACTGCCTCGACTTTAATTTTCACTGATTGTCATCTTACATAGCTCTATTGAAGCGACAACTATCTACACCATGATTATGATGTGAGATACTCGATATTTGAGATCTGATAATCCGATATCCTCGTCTCACCCCGAGCGTGCCATGTCGACTTATGACTTCGCCACCAGGCCACCTCAATCTGGTGCGTCGACAATGGCTAGTTTTGATTCTGGGGTGACAACCAAGATATCCAAACAAAGCATGATATTGGGACTATCAGGTGTGTAGGTGAGACTGATGCTAGTGGCGGCGGCACATCTTGAGTTTGCATGGAGGTTTTTATAGTTGTAGAACCCTAGGTGAGGAGAGACAGGTGAGTGTACTAATAATAACAGGAAGCTGGTTAGTCGCTGAAGCTAGAATAATTGAACCAATGCGATATGTAGATTCTAGGTTTAGGAACCAATGGGGTAATTTACAGCCGTAGCTGAGGTTAGGTAGTTACCTGCTGTCTAATCCCCCGAAGCCTTGCATTTATAGATGAAGCTAATGCAATCTTAGCAACGACAACAGCCGCCTTGCTAGCTCAATCGGTAGAGCGTGAGACTCTTAATCTCAAGGTTGTGGGTTCGACCCCCACGTAGGGCTCAATTCCCTTCGGTTGTTATAATTTTTTTATTTTTTTTCTTCTTCCCCCCCTTTTTGTTTTCATGCTGCCTTCCTCTTGGCCTTTTACTTTCTTTCTAAGAATGCCTGATTTGAATGCCTCTAGGATAGAAATGTTTTGTCTTACTTCTGTTTTGTCACACGAATCAAGAGGCGTGGGGAGAGAGAATGGAACTTGGATCCACGGCTTCGAATATACTTCTACGCAAACCATAGGGATCCAACAGGAGTTCCTCTAGTCTGGAGTCAGAGGTATGCAATCCTGGCTTACGAATGTTACTATTTCCCCCGTACTTGATAACCTCTTTACAAGCAAGCAAGACACACGACAGACACCGCCAACTTAGAACTCCATCATCCGTCAGAATAACCAACTCCAGCTTCGCTATTGCAGTCCTTGGAATTATCATGTGGTTGATCAGGGCCACGTTCCTCCACTTCTGGTTCACTGTGTCCAGGATCAACAGGCTATATGACATCTTGTTTTCCAGATTGCGGACATACTCTGTGGTCGCCTAGTTGTCTGGCGACCTCACAGACACGAGATATCCGAGTCCCCAGCCGTGGTGCCTAGAGAAGGGCTGCACGCCGCCAGAGAAGAGGTGCTTGCGCGCAAAGGCACTCTAGGCCCCGGGAAGCCTAGAAGATCCAACAGAAATGTACCGATTCCCTGATACTTTTCCCTATTTTCAAAGAAACTGCTCACAGATGATCCTCTTTTATGTGGAAACAGGGGTCCGAAGACAAACCATGACCATGAAAACGCCATGCTTCATGCCAGAAGCCAGCGGGCCAAGAGAGACACGCCAGGGGCTGTGTCTGCAACAAGCGAAAGTCGACAGTCACGGAAAGAAAAACAATCGCAAGAAAATAAGCCGTCAATGTCCTCGGGGACAAATTGAATAGAGCAAAAGTGGTTCGACCCGACGCTGTGGGACACTTCAGTCTGTCCTGCTTCGTCCAGCATTTCTGAAAGCGTCACTCTGGTCGAGATGCCAGGATGCCGAGAAACGCTTCAGTCCCGGCAGATCTTGATGTGCTTGCTGCACTTGACCGAACCGCGAGCTTCGCCCTGCGCGATGAGGCCCATAACGGCTTCAACAAGCTCGTTTGCATCCACCGTGTATTCGTCCGACACGAGGTGTGTGTTTTTGACCGTCAGCGTCAGCGTCGACGCCGGCGTCTGCACAAGCATGTTGCGGCCGTCATGGAATTTACCAACAGTGGGAAAATATACAAAGACCAGGTCAACCTCGTTCGTTGCGCCCTAGAAGATAGTAGTTAGCAAGCAGGAACATGTTCGACTACTACTAATAAGCAAGGGTTGGTATAATTACCCGTCCAACTGCAGCCGCCCCGAACTTGCCAACTTTGTAGAGATCGATACTGTCGGAGCCCCGGAGCCAGGAAGGACCGGTCAAGGCCTTGGTGACGCCGGCCTCGTGCTCGCCCAACCATTTCTCCAGCTTCTGGAGGGTTGAGCGTGACATTGTCGTAGTCGAGTGGCAAAACGTCTCGGGGGTCTGATGAGGAAGAAGATGTGAAGGCAGAGCTCGAGATCGTCTTCCGTTTGGTAATTGCAGTCAAGTCTTTGCTGTGTTGGTGTTGGTATCTTGCAGGGGTGGCGATGCGTTTTGTGCCCTTTTTCTGTCTGGCTTGTGTTGTTGACTGGGAAAGGGGGAGAGAGACAGGGAGAGAGAGGTGCTCTGAGCTATTACTTATACCACATTTGCCTCTTGTCTTTACCAGCAGTGCAACTTCAACAGGACAATCCATTTGTCCAATGCCAGTCATGCTTATGTTTGTTTGCACCTGCGTGGACCCCCTACACTTCGGAAAGGGGCAAGCGACTGAATGAATGCACTGTTGATTGGTTTGATAATTAGAGGCGAGGGAGGAGGACTGTGAGTCTTAACATGTTTGTCCTTTTAAGCGCATGGCACACACGCACTGGCACACCTTACCACCGCTGCAGCATCTGAACCGCCTCCCTTACGGCACCTTCGCAACGTCCATCCCACACAGCCACAGTGTGAAGCAGCCCCACAACATCCCCAAGCACCGCAGACTGAATGCTCACCGCCTCGTCTAGCGGCACAAACTCGCGCGGAATCCAGTAGCCGTCGTCCCCGACTATCGCTGGTGCTGCCTCCGCCGCCGCCTCCGCTGCCGCCTCCGCTGCCGCCGCTGCCGCCGCCGCGCCGTGCCAGGCAAAAGAGGAAGCAGGCGTCCCCGCCTGCATCTCCGCCAGAAAGCCAGCCAGGGACAAGGTCTTGGTCTCGCTTAGCCCGTATGGCAGCCAGGCTCGCTCGCCGACTGACATGGAGGCTACCAAGCGCGGCCCCACCTGGTGGTACATGACGAGAGGGAGGGGCGACCGGCAATACCCCGGGCAGACCTTGGTGTGTTCCCAGTCCAGGAGGGCGGTGACGGCTCCTGTGGTCGGGTGGACCATTATGTTGTCGGCGTGCAGGTCGGTGTGGTAGACGTGGGGCCTGAAATACCCGGCCCTGTCGGTGGCATCGGTAGCAGTAGCATGGGCAACACCGGTATTGGCACCATTGCTGTTGGGAGGAGGGACCTGAAAAATCTGAGGACACCGCTGGGCAAGTAGGACGACCAAGTCTCGGGCCAGGTCGATGCGTTGTTGCATGTTTGAAGGGAGGAGGACTGGCTGTATGGGACTGGGAGTGCCGTCCTTGATGGGAGTTGGAGGTGCTAGAAGAATGGGTAGACTTGGGGCTGAAGGTAGTGACGGAGTTGGCAACGAACGGTTCACTTCGGCAACGTTGATCATCTTCATCATGCCATCGCAATCCTCCGAGTCCGGCGGCGTAATACACACCTCACCACTGCTGCTGCTGCTGCTGCTGCTGGGCTCCGAGTCAAACTCCGACTTCGACTTGGGGGATAAGTCCATGTCTGGCATCAGTTCTTGGCATGGATTGCCGCCTTGGACCATGGCCGGGATGATATCCGGTACCCACGCATCAATTAGACCATGCAGATAGGCAAGCGGGCCTGCAAATGGGCCCCGGTCCAGCTTGGAACGGCGGTACGGCCCAGCAGAGAAGTGCAGGTTGGCAATCGGCCCGATAAGGTAGCCGCCGTCTCCTTCCCAATCGTAGTAGAGGCTCCCGATGCGGTCAAACGAGATGCCTTGCAACTTCTCGACGTAGCTCTGAACTTGGCGGAGGGTTGGAACCATGAAGGCCGCATACTCCTTTTGAATAAGCCTGTCTTCCATCCGCAACTCGGTGTCCTGCCACTCCTGGACAGTCGTGCCCAGCATATATTCCATAAAAATGGCTTCGAGGCCGAGAGGGTTTGCACCGCTCGAATCAAACCAGATGATGGCCGGGGCTGGGATGCCAACAATGTCGCGTACAAAGAGGGTTGTGGCTACCTCGCTCTCAACCTTGAAGTACGGGTCCATAGGCATGCTGAGCTTGAGGATCAGGCAGTTGGGCAGCCCATGGTCTCCTTGCTTGGGTGTGCCTCTGGCCAGACACTCATCCTTGCCAGCACTATCAGTTTCCTCAAATGTGGTCTCGAATGTCGTGTCAGATGTGGTGGTCGAGAAGTCAAGCTTGAAGTTATTGTTATAGACACCGGCTCCAAGTAGTGTCAGTTTGTAGTTCCGTGGCAAGCCAGAAATCAGACCCTCGTCTAGATAGAAATCAACGAGCTGTCTGGCATGCGCAACAGTCGGCCCGCTGTAGGGAACCCAATCAAGGTCCCATTTACAAAGGTCCTGGTCCCAGTCCCAGCTCACCCAGCGGTCTTGTTCCTTGGCGACTTGTTCGGCCTTGCGAGGGGATGACGGCTGGAGTCGGTAGGGGAGTAGGCGGGAATGACGCGCGTGAAGTCCTACAGGAGCATCATGTTAACAAATGACAATCAAGCTAACGCTTCAAGGGACATCCTCAACCATACCAGTAGTCTCAAAGACAGGCTTCACCTCAGGCCCTACCTCAGGTTCAAGGTGGCCGCTCGTCATGGTGGATGATCAAGCACAAGCTCTGTGAGAAGGTATCGCGGGCAAACGCAATGGCAAGTAACAAGACCAAGGGCGCGAGCACAACCGGGATGAGGCGGAATGTTTCTGTGATTGTGGCAGGCAGTGACGGCGAGTAGAGATGGCAGGTAGAGACGGCGAGTAGAGGGAAAAACTCTGACAGATTTGGCTGATTTTAAGTGTATCATAGTGAAGTGCCTTGGTGCCTAGACACTGGAAGGTGAAGACAAACAGTGACAGTGAATCTGGTTAGTCATTACAAGGAAAAGTGGTCTTTATTGCAGGAGTTTGCCTCAACACAAGTGCTTGAAATCCTCATGACACATCATAGCTGTCCAACCCAAACTGATATTGGTTTTGCTCAGTATCTTGGCAGCCATGTCTCAGCCTTAAGTAGTCCATTGGAAATCTAGTTCTAAACACAAGAATACAAATTGCTAATATATCCTCCACTCAAGTCCTCGGATAAATCATCTGAACTAAAGCCCAGAATGGGGAAATGGTGATTGGGGAAAAAGAAAAGGAAAAAAAATAAATAAAGTGAATTGGGATAGCCAGGAATCGAACCTGGGTTATATCGGCCACAACGATATGTACTGACCACTATACTACCATCCCCGATAATAGAATTCTCTGAAACATTTACCATATAAAGACATTGTGGGTGTAGCTTAGTCAGTCAAAGCAAGTGTCTAGGATCCGCCCAAAATAACAACTACCTCCTCACTGCCATACCTAGCTCTTCACTCTATACTGGCATATATATCTCTAAGCTACGAAATACATATGCCACAAAGGCCAACTAGCAAGATCTAGCTTGCCGTTTCGCCTTAAGGTAGAGAGTCAAGCCAGAGACACTCTGTGAAAGAACAATGATTTACTAGGTAGCATAAACCAATGTAAGATGCGTATGGCATCGAAATGCATCCCTATACCCTAACCTTGCCATTGTCTAGAACCTATCTACTTATCTGCTACATCTGCCATTGCATGTCGCCAAGGAAGCCCGTTGCCGCATCTGCATAGCAACTTACCCAGGTTGCCATAGTAATCAAAACTCCAATTTGAAAGAAGGTAAGTCGCAAGAGACAACGTCGAAACTAAAATAACACAGCAATAGTTGGAAAAAGAAGTTGGAAAAAGAAGTTGGAAAAAGAAGTTGGAAAAATACAGCTCCTTACAAAAAAGCCATATGTAGCTGCCTCTCCCTGTTCGCCCTGGAAAAAACATTCACAGGAGGGAATAGAGCCAACAGCTGCGAGCATATTTAAAAAAAAACAAAGAAAGAAAGAAACAAGGACAAAAAAAGACAACGACCGAAGGGAATTGAGCCCTACGTGGGGGTCGAACCCACAACCTTGAGATTAAGAGTCTCACGCTCTACCGATTGAGCTAGCAAGGCGGCTGTTGTTGTTGAATAAACCACGCGCATTATTAGTCTATAAACCATAACTGTGTGACCCCCACTCACCGGCCATTTATCTAACACTTGCACATATTCCTTACAAAATGAGAGATGAGCCACTTAACCCTACGCTCTTACTAAATCTATTCATTTCTGCAAGCTGCAATTCTAGACTCTAGAGCGACTGACTTCTTCTTAATAACCCAATCACACCAAAGTCGCCCAACCACCGTGTTGGAATATCTCATGATCCGAGCTAACTCTAACCAACTAACAAGTGTCTATGCGTCCCTACATTATGTATTGTATGTAGGTATGTACATGTACAATGCATACATAAATATCTCGTAAACCGTCACTTTCCTTTCCTGTCCTTTCCACAAGGCTGTCAACCCGCTCCGCAGTTTAACCATGGCGATCACTTGGACACTTCTACTCCCTGAAAGTCTCGACGCGTTTTACATTCAACGTCACCACCGTGCATCATCACCGTCGGTTCTCCAAACCCCTTTCCAAGATGACTTCCACCAATGATGATGGCACTAGTCTGCGTCTACTTCGTCGGCTTGCAAGTCCTGCCTCATCGTTGTTTTACCTTACCAAGGTAGGGAAAAGAGGAAGGACAACAAAAAGGAGGGAAAGAAAAGGGACAATGACCAGGTCGGTTCAACCGATTAAATCGGATTTATCGCTTGCATCTTCTTCCAATAGGCGATGTGGACACGGACAACAGAGGCTTAACTGCTCTGTATCGCATTCAAGACTACCTCAATAGTCACCCCCTACACATTTTTCTGACCAAGTCTGTATAAGTCGCAGAACCTGAGCAGCTGCCGCTTTAACCTCAGTAGGGGGTGAAGCGCAGTGAGCACCACCTGAGCTGGACGAGTTCAACGGTCGACTTGGTTTCGGGCACCCGGTTGCAGTTGCTAGTTATTTAGCGTTTGTAAGTCTGCGGAGACGTTGAACTTACACCCTAATAGTGGCGCTGCGTTGCGTGGAAGTGCATTCATCTTCATCGTCCTTGTATATTCCTGATCAGTAGTGCTATGTCGTCCACCATGGGCTTCGAGCAGGAACCAGGCTTCTTCCAAAGCTTGGAGCTTCTTCCTGATGGCACCATTATCATCGACGATCAGCTATACGGCGACCATATCATTACCGAGCACATGAGCCTGTACTACGTCTATAGCCAGCGTCAAGTGCCCAATTTGCAAGGAGTTTGCCTCTATCCCCATCACCGTGATACGCCGCTGGTTAAGTCACATAGGCCCGGTTTTTGAGGGTCTCATGTCTGTACGAGGGTCTTATTATCATTGCCTTTTAGTCTTAGGGATCGACTAATAATTATATGGCAGAGATATGGGGATATAAAGACTGCTCAGGTACCCAGTCAATAGCTGAAAAACGGCCGGTCAATAAAACAGCCAAAGAGAGAACCCCTTTCGTACTTTTAAGACTCGTCCCCGATAGAGTATCTAGATCCGTTCTCGGGGAAAGCTGAATGGATCATATGATGCGGATATAGTTGGCCTTTCCCCGATGGAAGAGTGTCTACCCGCGTCAAACCTGAAGCACATGATGTGGTTGCCGACATACAGTCACCTACGTTTCACGGCACGCAGCGCGTCGGATTCCAATTGCCAAGGTTGCGGCAAGCCCCTAGTATATAGCCGTCACAGAGCGGCTCACGCGGACCGCCCCGCCTCTGTACGGGCGTCCGTCCCCGGCGCCCCGGGACATGGCGAGGTTCGCGATGCGGGCCCTCGGTCTCGCCCCGGCCTGCGAAACGACCGTCCTGGCCAAGCTGTTGGCAGACCTAAGGATGCGACTGAGGCTGCACTGGGCGGTAGGGGCGGCTTGTCTGGCGGGACGACTATAGCGCTGACAGTGACCTTCACAATGCGCTTGTGCTGGCTGGCCTTAGGCTGTAGATGTATGGGCCTGGCGACGAAATCTACCTGGGCAAGCTTAACGCTATGCTTGGCGCGAATAGGTGCTGGTTATGTGAGCCCTGATGAGGCGGACATGTATTAGGGCGTGTACTTTATCAGGTTGGTATGGCTCTTGTTAGACCTTTTTTTTCCTCTTCTTTCTTTCGGTCACTTTGGCAAAACCATCCACTGCGCGCATTTCTAGGACGCTGTCTTGGCGTGACTGGCCTTGCGCATTGCCAAGTATACCAAGGGTCCCAAGGGATTATGTGCTCATCCATACATAGGTGGGTATCCCTTTGGTCTTGTTCTTCAAGAGTAGATTGTCCCAATAACACCTGAGTTATACACGTGTAGTTGGGAAACTGGGAACATCGATATTATGGGACGGATGACATAAGAGTAGAGTTGTTTTTGACAAACAGGCCATGGCTGCCATAGAAACCGTGGCAAGAGACTGTGGAATGATCGGCCACTGCGCCCTCCTGCAAGGGTGGTATGTCTCAGACATCCGTGGTCGATTGGAAGTCGAATGCCGCAGCAGGTCTCCACATCTGCGGCGAGGCCTATACGTTGTGGCATTACGTGGTCCACATCATTACGTGGTCCACATTGGTGGACGTCGTGAAACATGGAAACCGCCCCCTTTAAAAATAGTAGCTCATGTGAGCGAGAGCCTTGATCCGGGCTCCATAATAGCTGTTCCACGTAAGCACAAAGGAACGGGAAACGGCCCTTTCTCTTCAGGTGGCCCAGGGAAAAGATCTGAGAAACGGTGGCAAGTCAGGGGTCAGGGGAGAGCAAAGATACGTCATTCCAATTAACCTGAGAGTACCAACACGACGTTGGAAAAATGCTGTCAACGAAACGATTCCAGGAAACATCACCCAATGACATGATTGGTGGATGCAGATACCTTTTTATGTACCCATATGCAGTGGTCCTGCAATACGGGGCGCTTGTGGCTGACTCCCCGCCCCTTGTCATCCATGCATGCACAACTTGGCTTGGCACTTTGCAGCCACTCAAGCTGGAAGCCCGACGTTCCCGGTTGAGAACAACAGAGTTTACAATCTCGGCAGCTGGCCAAAGATATTGGCAGGTTGAGATGGGAAGAAATACAGAGAAAACACTTCACGACGAATCAGAACATTGTGTCAGGTAATTAGTATTAATATGTGAACCACGGGGTTCAATTTTGCTCGATTGCTTTACATCCAGATCCGTCCCATCCGACAGAACTAAAAGTAGGCACTAATGAAGCCCCGAGGACAACAACAGCCGTACTCGAAAGCTGCCGGATCCTTTCCCTGGTAACCTGCGAGATAGATACATGACCGCGGACAGCGGAGAGGCGTCTCGTCGCCTCACGGTCGAGACGAAGATCTCGTTCCAAGCAGTGCTAAGCCACTTAGAGGGCGGCAACGGCACCGAGGAGGAGCATGGCGAGGCCGCCAATGGAGCCGGCGGCGGCGGCACCGGCGATCTCAACCGTGGAGGTGGGCTGGGCACCGGTAGCGGTAGCGGTGCCGTTGCTGGCGCCAGTGGGGGCGCTGGTGCCGGTGGGGTAGCCGGTAGGGCCCACGGTCTCGGACGCAGAGGCGGTGGCGGACTCGGTCTCAGCAGCCGACGAGGAGGGGGCGCTGGAGGCCGGAGCGCTGGACTCAGGAGCGGAGGAGGCAGGGGCCGAGGCCGAGGCAGAGGCGCTAGCCGAGGAGCCACCACCGGCGGCAACCTCCTCGCAGAACTTCTGGGTGGCGGGGAGGACCTTGCCTGTGAAGGGAGTATGGTCAGCGAGGTGGCCAATGGCACCACAGGGGGGACTATCAAAACATACCAGTAGCGACATCGGCACCGCACTTCTCAATGACGCAAGGGGTAGCTCCACCGATCAGGGCGTTCTGGTTCTTGCAGATGCAGGGGAAGTCATCGGCCTTGCAGTTGGTCGACGAGGAAACGGCATCGGTGATGCATTTCTGGGCGCACTCCGGGATCATGGAGAGGTCCTGGGCAACGGCAGCGCCGAGGAGGGCGACAACGACAGCGGAATACTTCATTTTGACGGGGTGACTGGAGGTCGGATTAATCGATTAGGTGTGGTTGTATTGGTGCAAAGCAAGACCGTTATTGTACAGACAACTTTGATGTTGCAGTTGTTGAAGCGAGTGTGGTTAGGAAGGAAGGGGAAGAGGAAGAGGAAGCAGATGGGTGGAAGGGGAGGGCAGACAGGGCTTTTATGCAGCATGAGCTGCTGCTGCTGCTGCTCCTGCTGCTGAGTGTGATGGAACCCATGGCAACCAAGAGGCCAAGAGACGGGGTTGGACGACGCAACTGGTGCTGGTGTGGATCTACATCTGTACCTAATGCTGGAGCTCCGGCTTTGTCACCTGAGAAACTAAGAAAACCATCCTTAAGCAGGTACTGCGCCGAGCGATCGACTGGCCCACACCTCCATGGGAAGAAACGAACTAATCTCGGCAGTATCCAATCTCGTCGACGGTTGGGCCTAGAATCCGGGGAGCACAGTGAGGAAATAATCCCATGCTACACTAGTTGGATATGGACTGGGCAATCCAACAGAGACAGGGCCTCGGCCCCGTCTCAAAACATGGGGTCTCTGGGCCATCTAATAAGTCGCCCAAGAATTGCATAAAGTGCACAAATCTTAGCAAGAGTACGCCTAAACTTTGCCGACGGGTTAGGGGTTGGGGGGGTAGGGCCCCAAGACAGCCACGAGTCGGGGCCGACCCGGAACGGAACACCTCGTCCTGTGGACGGACGGAAATAAGCTTCCCGCACTGTGAGGTCATGATTGAAATTGGGTGCAGAAAAACAGGTTGCTCATGAGTCCATGCCATGCAAATAGTAGGTACAGTTGGTTTAGGGAAGGTGCCGTCGCGACGGCCTAGCATGGATGTTGCTTGTTGCTTGCTACCTTACGTAGCTGAGCCGAAATTTGCCTCGACTCTATCGTTTCAATTGGCCAGGAACCAAGGTGATTGCCCATGTCCTCGAGCGAATAGGTACACGCCCAACGGTCCCCCAGCCCCAGCCTTCCCGCCACCAATTCGACCGAGGGATCGGGGTTGTTTTCTTGGATTGACCTCTGTCACATGCTCACCGACTTCCGGTTAGAAAAAGTGATGTGTTGTTGGTCGGAAATCGGGCGCCACAGGCAATTAATATGCACCAGCACCTCCCAGCACCCCCTCCCCTCCCCCAATTTGCGGCACGTCATGCGTTTGGTGGCTTGCCTGGCGGGTAACTGGGATAGCCTGGGGGGATCAACTTAACACTGTATTATCCGCAACAGTACTGTAAATAGGTTGTATGTCTACAGGGCCACTCTTCAGTAATTTGTACTGGCAAGACTGGGCGACTTGCGGAAACATTGGATGGCATCTAGCTTGAGGAGAGGCGACATGCAGAGGAAGCTGAAAGTTGGGGCGGTTTGGCGTTGCCCTAGACACGAGAAAATTGCCACTCGGCCTCTCCCTTTCGTATTTGGGGACATTTCCATCTCATCAGGTTTCTTCTGCATTCTTCTGCAGTGGGGTTTTTCACGTAACGTTAGACCGAATCTCACCCATTCACACCCCCTCCCCTGTTAGCGTCCACTAGACACGCCACACAACCCCGCCTTCCCCTTTTCCCACCGTGCATGCTCAGTACACTTGATCCCGGCTCTCAGTGCCCCACTCTTCTATTGGATCCTCGGCCGATCTCGACGGGATCTGGTGGACCAACCTGGTCATTTGCCCGGTTTCCCCGGAAATATGGCACGTACCTCGACCGTTTCCGGCGAGACGGAACCTGCTAGTCTCATCTGGTCGTAGTCCTCCGACGGAGAGGTGCTTAGCTTCTTGCCTCAATCTTGCCTCAGCCCTCCCCGTCCGCCATGGCCGTACTATGGTAGTGTAGTAGGTAATTGCAGGCGTTGCTACTGGCTGCTGCAAGATGGCGGCGCTTGTCCCGAACTGCATTCATTCACCCTGCACCACACGCAATATACGACGACGTACATCGCACATGACGCATCTTACATCTTGGGAAAAAACTTAAAAATTATATTCGGACTCGGGACGATTTGACTTGCGTAGGACGGTGTACCTCAGAGGTGCCCACAAAAAGGTAAGGAACTCCCGTCCTTTCGATCCGCTTCCTCATCGGATGTGGAGACCCATGTGAACTTTTGCAAACATGGAAGGTGGAGCAACTGCAGGCCCACCATCAATTTGGATCGGTGGTGGTTAATAATTTGACCCCCCTAATTCCCGATGCTTCCAGCAATGGAGCACCACGACAGAATGAAACAACCCGTTCAACCGTGAGATTAGAACTCTTTTCATGTTTCAAGACCTCGGGGATCAGCTCCCTACTGTGGTAGTAAAATAGGAGACCAACACGTTAATATATACCATCCCTGCCCGCCTGGAGAACACAGCCATGTCGATCGACCCGTAATTAATTCCTGGCCTCCCTCTCATCCGTCATATTGTATGAAATCGAACCCCAGCAGCGACGAGATCAGGATGTAAACCAACCGACAGGCACGAAAGCTGCTGGCAGGGAGACCACCAAAACGAAAGTGCCAGCGACCATGGAATCCAACCGCTATATCTCCCCTATGTGCTCCGTTCCTTAACCTCAAACCCTCCGCTGATTCCTACTCCCGTAGAGTCACTCCTTCAACACATCCTGCCTCGCAATGCCTTTCATATTGACCCACTCGATCTGACAAATCGTTAGAGGAGTTACGGGAGAGCACTTGTCCACTTACTACTTACCGCTTATCGCTTCTCACTCGTTTTGCCCTCCAATCTGCTGGTTTTCTCCTCGGCCGCGACCAAAGCAGCGAGCCAGTGTTCCGGTCAGCTCGCTGAACCCAGCGAGGAGCTTGTTCTCGGTGCGGAGGAAATACCAAGTTCCAAGTCAGCCATCTGATGCCGTAATGACGAACCTACTTGAATCGAGGCCCCCAATTACCTGGCCATGTCGTCGAGCAAGCCTTCCCGTCCAATGAGGGAAACCACGTTCGCCTCAAGCATGCAGGTGAGCAGTCGACGGTCCTTGCCTCGCTCTGCAAGAGGTCCATCTGATAGGCTGGCTAGCTACCTTACCCGCTGAAGAAAGACGACGTTGGAGTCTTCAACCCTGACGCCAAGGGCCCCAACGAAGACGGTATGATCACCGAGGGCAAGCTCGACGTCTGCACTGACGTCTTCGGCTTGCAACCGCCTTGAGGTTCTGTGGGAAGCTGAGAATGAAGCTGCCCTGACCAGCCTGATCCCCACGTTGCTACACAGTACAGCTCTCTTGCGGTACCTATACTGACGAGCTCATACCTGCCAACCGCGCAGGACTGGGGACAGGCCTGGAATTGACGATATCTGGAAGTAGGGCGGATTCTTTGGTGTTTGATCCATTCCTTGCAGGGAAGTGCGATTCGGCATGTGGCAGTAGTCTTTGGTCTCACCTTTTCTTTGGGCCTTGGTGGCGACAAAGGCTGTGGATGGAGAGCCGAAGGAAACAGAAAGGAAAGGAAACCCTGGACAATACGTACCTCAGTGTCAGCAGTGTATGCTCTGCATGCCGCCAGGGAATTACCTGGGTAATTGATCGGATGGTAATTTTGGTAACGATGATGGTGGAAAGAAAGTAACAGGACCCAAGGTAGAGGGTATTTGTGGATTAAGAAACGGTGTGCTTGAATCAGTGAACAGTCAGAATATTGAATGGTAGGAAGTGTTGATGTACAACGCAGTTCAAAGGAATCATGTTGGGTGCGACTCAGGGGTTCAGGGGTTGGCGAGTCAAAATTGCTAACAAAAGGGGGGGTGGGAGAGTTGTTCTTGTGGCACAGTTCCTTTCTCTCTTCACATTTATTCCGCGGCCAAGAGATGTATCTGCGAGTCCAACTCTCCACAAAAGGAAGGCGAAGGTTTTGCACACTTGTCACAAGGCTGGGATGTGAAGATATTGTAAAGAGACAGTGACATGAAAGTATTTGGGGTAGAGCCTGAACATAATTATATCTACTAAACAGAAAGAAGACAATTGAGCCTAAGATTGGAAAGCGAGGAGGAGATGAAGAATAAGAGAAGCTTAAAAGCTTGGATGGCCCAGCTCATGGGAGAACTGGTTGAGATAAATACTCAACGGTTTATCTCTTCTTAAGGTGCATCGGCTAAACGGATAGCAAGTTTGGCATTCTGATGCAATCAGTTTTACAAAATCCATACTTGTTTCCATACTTGCACATATTGGAAGAGTCTGGATGTTTTTCTCGGTTCGTTTGTGACATCTACAGTGGCAGATGTTTGATAGAGCTCCTTAACAGCATATCCATCCTATATTGAATAACTCGCAATTATGGATTTAAAAGAATGGTGCTCATGTCAGGGATCACCCCTCAACCCCACCAAAAATAACCCCTCCATCGCAAACCCGCCGTGATTTTCAGAATTGGAGTAGAAGGTCAGATTGCCGTGAAGATGGAATACGATACAAAGATCCGTATGTCCCCAGTCCTCTGCCTGCTCTTTGGAGGCGACTGACGCCAACCTAGCCCGCTATTCGACTGCCGATAAGACGTCGTTTGGGTTCCCTACTGGGAGAGAGAGGTGGCCCATCATCATTGTCAGTGCCCAACCCTCGACCAGAGCCTTCCTTTGAGATTGATCGTCCATTGGACAGGAAACACTAACAGCCAGCAGACCGGAGTTATAGACGATGCCTACCGGTCTGTATCCCAGTGCGATGACACCGAGAAACGGGACGAGGGCAAGAAGATCGTCGAGGAGCTCGCCCGGCTAAAGTACGAGGTTGAACACGACCGGCCACTTGTGTATGTTCCCTCCAGGCAATACCGCGATCTCTTACCAGAGCTAACATGCTACTTACTGCCAGACCAATCCGGGATGACGGCTATCCCGATGTAGCTCTGTACAATAAGGAATTGGAGCAGCTCGGCAACCCCTCCTGGCTCAATGTTCAATGGCTCTTCTGCGAGTGTTACTTGTTCAGGTACGATCACCACCCAGACCCCCGCCGAAAGTAAGAAGCAGCCATTGGAAGACACCGCTGAGACCCCGAGATTAGACGGATCAACACCTCTTTCAGCCTCTCCACCTACTGGAAGGGCTACGATGTCTTCGCCCGCCAGAAGATCAAGACTTTCCGGTCATCTCGACCTGCGGTGCTCGAGCTCGCCGGAAGATACAAGGACCTGGTCCAGAAACTAGAGAATAACAAAGGACAGGCTACCGACGAGGAATCTGATAGGCTCCTGTTCATGGAAGTGTGCGAGATCTGCCTCTGGGGCAACGCCACCGACCTCTCCCTCCTGACCAGCCTGTCCTACGAGGATATCCAGAAGCTGCAGGGCTCCGAGGCTCGGAAGGCATCAGAAAAGAACATCCTTGTCAATGACCTCCCCGCCGCATACGATCTGCTCCTCAAGGCCAAGAAGGAAGGCAAGAAGGAGCGGCGGGTGGACATCGTCCTGGACAACGCCGGTTTCGAGCTCTACGTGGACCTCATCTTGGCGGGTTATCTCCTCTCGGCGGGACTCGCCACCGTCGTGGTCCTCCACCCCAAGTCGATGCCCTGGTTCGTGTCCGACGTCGTGCCGGGTGACTTCGCCGCCCTCCTCAATGCCCTTGCCAACCCCCGACACTTTTACGAGACGCCGTCCGAGGACGATCACCTGCAGGACAAGATCCCGGCGCCGCTCTCCGACGCTGAGGCCGACCAGCTGTCCTATCTCTTCCAGGAGTGGAGCCGCCTCCACTCCGAGGGCCAGCTGATGCTTCGGCCGAACCGGTTCTGGACGCACCCCGGCAGCTACTGGAGGCTCCCGCATGTGGAGAAGGAGCTCCTCGAGGACCTCAAGACGAGCGAACTCGTCGTCTTCAAGGGGGACCTGAACTACCGGAAACTGACGGGAGACGTAAGTTTAACACAACCGCTAGGAATCAAATTTGCTGGCTAATTTGTTTGGGTAGGCAAGCTGGGACCCGACCACGCCGTTCACCGAGGCCATCGGGCCCCTCGGACCTGGGTCGGGAGTCAACATCCTCGCCCTGAGGACTTGCAAGGCCGACGTCGTCGTTGGCCTGAAGCCCGGCCAGGACGAGGAGCTCCGGCAGACGGAAGGCGGAGGGGGAGATTCGGGGGCGAGGAAATGGGCCTGGAGTGGGAAATGGGCCGTCGTATCTTTCTCGAATGGCCAGTGAGAGCCATTCATTCCTTGGCCCGTTTTGATCTGGGTTGTTATTAGAAACATATAAGTCTAGATAGAGCAGCACCATGTATCTTTATCTTGTCCTCAGATCTCAGTTGTTTCCGCTAACAGTTTGGCGAGATATCGTAAATGTCGTCTCTTGCGAAAACGGCCAGTGCAGCAAAGGGAAACCCCCAAATACATCTCTTCGTCCATGAACCAGTGGTATCTCACCCGACCCTTAACTCCAAGATCATCAAGCCATAAGCATCACCCCAGACATACCCCGACCCACCACCCCCCGCAAAAAAAAAGACACCTCTTAGTAACCCCTAGCCGTGACAGCTCCCACGGCCAGCGTCTCAATCCTCGCCGCATACAGCTTCATGACATGACAGACGGGGTCGCCCCAGATGACACTCCGCAGCTGCTCATCCGTCGTGACCTGGGCGACGACACCCTCGTTGACCCTCTCCTCGACCGTCTTCTTGCCGTCCAGCCTCGCTCTCGGGTCGCCCGAGCGCAGCACCACGATCCGGCCAGCGTTGCTCAGCGTGCACGGGGGTACCTTCCATGCTGGGCCGGGCTTCCTCGACCTGCTGCTGCTGCTGTTGCTGCTGTTGCTGCTACCGCTGCCCGGCGACTTGGCCGACCGATCCGCCTTCGCCGCCAGCGAAGTTTTTGATCTCCTCCCACTCCCAGCCCCGTCAACCGCTACCCGGCCGTCCTCGCCTCCCTCCGCCGGTGCCGGCGCAGGCGCAGCGAACAGCTCGAACAGGCTCCGCAAGTACGCCTTGTCAGCGCGAACGACGGGATCACCCTCGTTGACGAACGCGAGGAACAGATCCTTCCTCCCCCTCTTCCTCCTCCCCGCCCCCTCCTCCCCGAGCCACATCCCGCCGCAGTCGGGATCGCCGGCGCCGAGCGGCAGCAGGCTGACGGGCGGGGCGCCAAAGGTGACGCAGTGGATCCTCCGGAAGCGGGCGGCGAGGGCGTTGAGCTCCGAGGACGCGGCGGCGGAGCGGGCGAGCATGTGGGCGTGCAGCAGGGCGGCGACGGCGCCGCCGGCGCTGTGGCCCGTCATCAGGAGCGAGTGCGACGCCGCGCGCCCGGGGTCCTCCTCCAGCAGCTGGCGCAGGCGGCGCGCTACGGGGCCGATCATGCGGCGCGCTGCTGTGAGGAAGCCTGCGTGGCAGAAGTTGCCTGCGTCGTCCTGGTGGTGGGGTGGGGGGTCAGCAAGGTGGTTGCAGTTGTTATCTTGGGGGTGGGAGGTTGTTTCAGGTGGCTTTGGGCATTGGGAAGAAAGGGGGGGGACGTCTTACCAGAAAGCCGGTGGGAGACGCCGGGTCCATGTTGAGATTAACAGCCCAGTCCATAAAGGTGGCACTCCCGCGGATGGCGAACACGATGGTGTTCATGTGGTCCATGGGCACAGACTTGATAACCATGGCCTTGGTGCCGGTGCGCCAATCGGCGTCGACGTAGGCGTCTCGCTCAGCACCTCGGGGCTTCTCATACACCCGTTCTGAATACTGCGCTGCGAGGCACAGAATAGGGTAGGTGGGGATGTATCTGGAGATAAGTGAGCAATGGATGATGGTTGGAGTCGGGGTCCAAGAAAAAGGGGCTTTCTCACAGTTTAAATGGAGAGAGGTGAAGTGGAAGCCTTGAGTTTGCATAGAGGTCTACCTTGGCGAAGTAACTGTCTGACACAGCGAAGGCAGCTACGGCCTTGGTTTGGCCCTTCTGGCCCTTCTTGCTCTGGCCCTTCTTGCCTCTTTTTGCTGGCGCCCCTTCAAAAGGGGGTCCGGCTGCTGCTGGTGGCGCCAGGCTCGGTTGATAGAGGAATGAATTCTTCTCGTTTCCACCATAGCGATCCCGGTCTATCGAAGTCACAACATGGTCGAAGCTGCTCGAGATCTGGTCATAGAGCGCTGCGCTTTGGTTGAGGAGCTGGGTTCGATAGTGGTGCCACGAGGGAAGACCATCATCGAAGAGTTCGGGGATGCGCGTCCGGGGACAAAGCTCTTCGGCCAAGTTGATCACGGATCCCAGGTTTAGTTTGCTTAGAGAGCCACTGCTGTTCTGGGGCCAGTGAGGTTGTTGGAAGGGCTGCGAAGGAGAGAAGTAATAGTGCTGGTTCACCACGATGGGGGCATACGGCCCGCCTTGCTGGTGGTACTGGGGCGGGAGTTGAGGAGGGACACCATGCCATCCTGGCGCAAGAGCCAAAGCTCTGGCCGGCTGGAGGGCGAGTGACGATGGAGAGGCCCCATCAGCAGCACACCACGGCCCGGCGAGCTGTGGTCGGAGCGGCAGTGGTGGTGCCTGGAATTCAATAGGTGCCAGTGGTTGATCTTTAGGTGGGCCACCTGGGACATCTTTCTTCACCTTCTTGGATCGATCGAAGAACCCCATGACGGCGCAGTAACTATGTGGCTCAACATGCAGACAGCCAGGACCATAGCTTGCTTCCGCTTGGCGATGTCGATGTCGATGGCTTCTAGAGGCACATCAAGTCATAGTTCACCGGTGGGCAGGAAGAAGACGACCAAATGAATGGAGTATTAGAAGTTCAGAAGTTCGCCGTGTTGCGAGAGCGCAAAATAAGAATGTCATGGCAAGCGAGGAGGAAGCCCGCTGGCCGGGCCATGTGAGCGTTGATAGGTTCCTGCTTCGGCACCTCCCTGCCATCCTGGAATCCTTGTGAAAGAGCCGTTACGGCCAGTGATTCGTCGACGCCTTGCAGCCAAGCCCCAATCCGCACTTGCAGAGGCGCCCGGGCAAAAAGCATGACTCCGCATAGAGTCCGATAAGTCAGCCCGAGGCGGAGCCAATGGTTTCCCGCTGTTTGCTGGCAACATAACCTGACAGCCCTGACTGAAAGCTGATCGGCTGCTGCCAGAGGTTGATTGAGGTCGATGGGAGGAAGGAAACTCCAAATGTAGTGCGACCCCGCGTCCAGCCTTTCCCAAACACGCAATTCCCCTCGCATGTTTCACGAACAAACAAATTGAGTTTTCAAGCCTCACTCTTGCGCCCCGAACCGATTCGTCCAACTAAGCGATGGCGATGAGGGAGTGGAAGCCTGGGAATGCTGGCACGTGGGCGGGTGGCAGTGCGGGAGCTCGAGAACAACGTCCCGAAGACCGGGCGAAACTAAACTGAATACCGACGGATATGTCGTACCTACTCGGCAGCCCCGTTACCATATTCCCTTCTCTTTGATGGACAGGCGAGTTACCCCAAACCAGTCGATTTGAGTTGGGCTTATGAGCTTGTTCCAAATTCAGAATCTGAACAGTGCTGGTATAGGTATCCATGTTCTTCTCCAGATACCAACGACTCGCTCTGCCTCGTGGCTGAAAATGTAGGTAGGAGGGGCCAGGTAGGGGCCAGGTAGGGATGGCCTGGAACTGCAAGTCATCAAGTGTGGGGCAGCTTTCTCGAAATCGAAGCTTTTCCCGTTGAAGATCCAGCTCTCTGGTTTGGCGGCGGGAGAGCTCTTATTAGGCGTGTACTTGTACTGTACCTAGGTACCTACATATTCCCGCCCGACCCATGCGGCTAAACGATTTCGCGACACCTGGAACATGGCACTTCATGCAAACAAAAGAGCTCCTCCTCCAGCCCAAGAGACTCTTCTGACCTCCGATCAGAATACATCCCACGGCTTCGAGATGTATCTGGGAGCGTAATGGACTTTGTGAGTAGCTCCTGCAGCATGCGCGCCGCCTGGCGTTGTGTTCCCTGCCTTGCCCTTCTTGCTAACCTGTTGCTAACTTCTCATTCCAGTGGTCGCGCCTCTTAGCCCATACTCCCCTGTCTTCGGGGAGCTCCCGTAAGGACTTCGCCCGGGATCCCGTTCGACGACTCCATCGCTTCGAGAAGGAATACAGTCAGCTTCTGGTAAGCCTTGCTTGACAACCCACAAGGCCGTCGTCGGTGGTTTGCGGTTTGCGGTTTGCGGTTCGCGCTGACCTCTGATCCAGCAAAGATGGCGAAACTCGTCCAACCTGGCCCACGACGACGAAGCCGCCGAGAACATCGAGATCCGCCTACAAGAGCTGACCAACATCCTCACCGATGAATCGCGGAGACCTCTGCCTCACCCGTGCATTACCTTCTCCGCGAGGAAGCAGATCTACATACCGGTTGCCAAGGTCGCCATCTCTTCCGGCAATGAGTGGATCATCAAGGAGGCAGTCTTGTTCTTTGCCACTCTGATCGAGAGCGAGGAGGAGGCCTTCGTCGAGAATGACTCATTCTCGGTCAGCCTTACGAACTTGCTGGTTCGTATCACCGGCACGAACAGCATCCGCCTTGACTCGGATACCGAGACCAGGGTCGTTGAGCTGGCCTTCAACATCACTACCAAGATCAGGCTGGACCCCGAGATCCTGCCGACATGGTTCAGGTCCAGGCAACAGGCCAATTCGCCGAGCGAGGAGTACCAAGACGAGCACGATAGGTTCGCTGGACGGACACAGAAGCAGGATTTCCCCCTGTTCTATCTCTTGATGGACTACATCCACAACGAGGGCAAGGTTGGCGACTTTGCAAGGACAGGTCTGCTGTATATCATCGAGGCGGCGTCTAGCTCGGTGGCCCTCGAACAGTGGATAGTAGAGAGCGACTTGTCCACCCTGATGGCTACCGGATTGGGCGCTCTGTACAGCCAGCTGAGCCGGAAACTCGTCATCGACCACCCCGCGCACGAGCTCCCCCCAGTCCTCGCCCTCTCCGACTACGACCATCCCAAATCCAACTATGAAATCACCAGTTCCTGTTCCGCCGAGTTCCAGGCCCACCTCGACACCTTTCTCTCCCATCTACTCTTTTGGCAGGACGTCCTGAATCACTGCAGATCCGTCGAGGTCAAATCAACCCTGCTCGAGCACTTCCAGGTCATATTTCTCCAGCAGTTATTGTATGTGCCTTGTCTCTCCATCCAACCAGTGTGGTGCATCGCTGATCGTTCTCCCCCCAGATACCCCTCACTGCTGGAGTCTTCTGATATTGACGGGGGCTCCTCGGTTGCTGTCCTGACTTATCTCCGGCGGATTCTCGAGTCCCTTGACCACCCCGACATGATCAACCTGATTCTTCACTATCTTCTTGCCCTGCCAGACATTGTACCCTCCGCCTCCTCTACGTCAGTAAGCTCAGTGAGCAGGGCCCGAAAGCGCAAGTCCATGGACCTAGCAACTCTGATGGCAGCCCAATCCGACACAGCGGCTACTCCTCTACTCTTCAACTTGGTGGACCTGATCCTGGCCTGTCTCCGGTCCCACAGCCAGCAGACGATCAATGTCACTCTGCAGCTCGTCTCGGCGATCCTTAAGAGGCACCATCGATATGCCGTCATCACCCTCCTTCATACGGTAACCGTTCGCAGCGAGCTTTCTCGCCGAACTGTCGGGGCTCACCAGCAAGAGGTGGAGTTTCTGACGCATCTTGCGGGGTGCATTGGCGGTCAGGACAACTTCGATGAGATATACCAGAACGTACTGGGGGACACAACTATCCGACTGGAGAGCCACCCCTGCTCACTGAAGCTTGTCGCACCTAAAACATCGACAAACAACCACAAGCTCCCGGCCATTCCGGATAGTCTCCCCGGGGCGCCGCAGGATGTTTGCCCCCATACCCTTCGTCCCGACGATCCCGTCCTGAACATCATCCTCGATCGTCTTGAGAGTTTCTTCCTGAACCCCGTCGAGACGAACCTGTCATTGACGGACGCCATCTTCGAGCTCGCCGTTTGCGGCTTCGTCAGCATAGAAGGCTGGTTCCTGCGGAATACCCAGCAATACGTGTACGATGACGAGGGCGAGGAGTATGGTCAATCGGACACGCCTCCCGCCCCGGATTCGCCCATCTATGCTGAATTCCAGAAAGTCCAGAGCATGAAACAGTGCCGGCGCCGACCCAAGTGGACCACTTCCAGCCTCCCTCGATTCCTCACCGTCCTCCAACTTCTGACAAACGAGGTGGAAGCCTACCGTGAGACCATTCCGCGATTCGACGACCTCCTGCAACAGCGCCGCGAAGCCTTCCAGACCGCCGATATCGGGGCTCCTCCCCCAGTCCCGGCCCGGCCCAAGCAGCCGAACCCCCAAGCAGCCCCCAGCACGCCAGCCATCGGCCGCACCAGCAACGACGACCACCGCAGCGCCTCCCCGGCTCGCCCGTCCCGCCTCGAAGGGTTCGCGCAGCGCATCCTCTCGGAACTCGGCACGCCCACGCGCTCGGGAAGCCCGCGGGGGAGGAAGGAGATGAGCCGCGGGCCCTCGGATAGGTCTACGCCGGCGCCGGTCCCGCCTAGGGAGTTCCCACTCAGCCACGAGAGCCCCTCGCGGGGCGGCGGGCTGGCGAGGTCGTACTCGCCCGGCAGCGCGGCGAGCGTGCCTGGGTCCTGGGACGCGAGGGGCGACGCCGTGTCGAGCCAGCTGAAGGCCTTCCAGGCCGTCGACCAGGGAATCCTCTCCCGGCGGGTTGGGTTACCGGCCGTGAGGGGCGGCGCGGAAAAGATCGAGCCGATACCCCTCGTCTTCGAGAAGGTGGCTGCCGGTGTCGAGGCGGCGGATGACGACGGGAAGGGGGAGGAGGGGGAGGGAGAGGTGCCGACTCCGCCCGAGGAGAAGACGGTTTCTGTCTCGCATGTCATCACCAACGTCATTGTCTTGCAGTCCTTCCTCTTCGAGCTGGCGAGCCTGGTGCAGGTGCGGGCGGGACTCTTTGACGAGGTGCGATTTGCCTGAGACGGCGGCTGCCCACAAATCGCAAATTCGGCGTCGAATGTTCCCGGTTTGCCCCTGCCGTAGTTCATACGAAGGGTCTTTTTTTTTCTCCCTTTTACTTTTGTTGGCGCCTTACTGCACTGGCATTGCTCGGCGTCCTTGGATCGATTGTATGGAAGACGGACGGTCCGGCTTTTTGTAGCTGCGCTTCTCTTGATAACCACCTTGGCTCATGATATGGACGTTGTTTTTCCTTCGAAAGGGCTGGAGGGGCTATCCATTACTTTTCTGTTTTACGAGTCCATGTCCATCATGTTCATTTGCCACAATAGAGTCTTGTAGTATCTATCTATTCGTTTACTTCACTCTGCCAGGTCCTTGATACGAGGTACGGTTGGTCCTCTCTTCAGTTTGTGACAACTGTGTCCGTCAGTTGGAACTACGGTTTCCTGCTCTCCTTTTCTTTCGGCTAAGATGAACACCCGGCCCTGTCGATTTCGTCCGTCCCTCAAGAAACACTCCCCGCCGAATACCATTGGATTGTTCCGCTACCCTGCCATGGTTAAGCCGCCTTACAAGGTGGGATTGAGCATGCGCTTGTCCAGACAAGGGACTTTGTCACCCTTTGTTCGGGCACCTGAACTATGGATTGTTCCTGTCCTCGAGCCCCTTAATCGATTCCTATTTGATAGAGGACAAGCCCATTATCCAAAACAAGGGAGCTGTTGTCGAGCAGGTTCTTTACGAAAAGGCATACCCAGATTCGAAGTTAGTCGATTGTAGTAAACACATGTAAGGGGTTTACGAGAAACAATGTAATTATTCCCCCCAAGCACATCATCTTCCACGAGTATATATTCTCTCATCCCCGCCCAGAACCAAGGCATAAATCATCCTAGTAACCAAGCCTTCAGATCCAACAGTCCTACCAGAGATCAAAGCATCGGGGCCAACCACCAAGCATCATCACTCAAAAATGGCTCCAGCCACTCCCCGCGCAGGCCTGTGCCTCCTCTCCCTCCTGGGCCTGGTTGGCCTCGCCTCCGCCGCCTTCAGCCCCTTCGACTTCCACTGCTCGCCGGCCTGCCTCTTCGGCAGCATCTTTGGCCTCATGGTGGGCCTTGCCGTTGTCGGCCTGCTCATCGGCTGGGGGATCGCTTGGTTCATGCGCAGGCGGCTAGACCGTCTTGAGGCGACTAACTCTGACCTCGAGCTGCAGGCAGTCTGAAATGGTACGGTAAGTGGTAAGTGGTAAGTTGCCCCGTGGAGTGTGACCAGAACATGCAAGACGGAGAGGTAGGATAGAGCACCGACGGTGATCGGGATGGCTCTTTAAGAACTGGAACTTTTGACTTGATGCTCCCAGATGGGACGAGTCTGATATTGTGGCAATTGACTGATAATATGCCAAGATTTGATCTATTATTGCCCAAATGTGAATGGTATTGAGCAGTACCCGTGAATTTTGACCGCTGTCCCTGATTGTTGAGCAAAAGACTCGAGTATTTACCTTTGTGATTACTAAATGTTGCCCTTGCTTGACTCCCACACCATCAGTTGTGACCATCTCAAGTCTAAAACGACAGAATCGATGTCCGAGAGCTGGTTGCTTGGAGTCATGAACAGAACTTGACAATATCAGTGCCACAGAAGCAATCACTGGCTACCCCTGGCGAGCTCGAGACAGGTGACATACATCACAGTGAAAGAGCTCTGGAGTGAGGAGGACAAGCTGCTCAAACTTTCATCCAACCAAAACACCTTCTCATTTGAAGCCTGCATATATACCCTTAGTCTGTCACAAATGCCTGCTCAGACAACCGGCGCCTTCATGTTCGCCAAGACCACACGGTACCCATCTGGATCCTCAAACGTCTTCCCACACCGATCCCAGTACGGGTTGAAGCTGGCCACAGCAGCAAAACCGGCCCCTTCCATTCGTGAAACCGCAGCGCCGTAGCCATCCTTGTCCGGAAGGTAGAACACAAGCAGGTTGTCCTGCGTCGGTGCCCGGCCGGCATCGTGAGCCTTGCTGCTTGTGAACTCGAGGTGGTATGCGCTCCCCTTATGACCAAGCATGACGCCATCGAAGCCTTCGTGCTCGGCAAACTTGAGCAGTACCTCGAAGCCTAGCCCGTCGCAGTAGAAGGGCAAAAGGGCTTCGATGTTGTTCGTCGGTCGTGCGACGCGCAGGTGGACTGTGGCAAGCGACATTGTGGTTTTTGGTTTGCGAAGTCGGCATATGCAGGAAAGAAACCTCGGGGCGCGAACCCCGCGTTTTTGTGGAAACTCAGATCCGGTTCCTCGGCCGATCTCGGATTTGGTTATGACGAGCTGGCGATTCTATAAAAACTCGCCCAGTCATAGGTGTATAACCTCGCTGCCACTGCCCACAAGCATTGGCTAGCTCGACAACGTGTAGGACCCATTGAAGCTCTCAGCCAGTCGTAATTCCCAAGTCAAGCATGGGCAAGCGTCAAGCTTCAGCACAACTCGTAGATCTAAAGGGTAGTTAGCGAGTGAGCATCCCACGAGGCAAGAGTGATAACAGACCTCATGCCATAGGCGCTTGTCCTCTCTGTTTCAAATGGCTGGCAGTGAAAAGTGCCTTGGGTCGCGAGCCAAGGACCATCAGCTCAGCCTTCCATATCATCCCCTCCACTCGGACCACTGTCCGCAAGACCCAAGCCGACGCCTGAACCACCTGTCCTAATCCTCCCCTCAACAATCCCCTCCAGATGCTGCCTTGCCCCCGCCCACAGCTCGCTCTCCATGACCCTCTCCACCTTGTTACTCCGCGCGTTCAGCCAGCCCACATCCAGGACACCCATATTGCCGACCCCGTTGGGCTCCAGACTGCCCTTCCCGGGACCGCCAGCACTTCCGCCGACGCCCCCCGCCCCGGCAGGTCCGCCCCCTGGACCCGCGGACCCGGCGCCGCCCCCCTCGGCCACCTGCTCGCGCCGGTCGGCACCCCTGAGCGTGACGATGCCCGCCTCCTCGAGCCCCCAGATCTGCCGCTTCAGCCGGACGTCGACCGAGTGCAGGGCGCTCATGAAGGCGTTCATGGCCGCCTTGAAGGACTCGAGGCGCTCTTCTGGGTCGAGTGCCGGCGGCGGCGCGGCGGCGGCGCCTGGCTCGGCGGGGTTGGCGGTCGAGGTCGAGGCGTCGGGAGCGCTGGCGCTGTCCCCGTCTGCGTTGTCGGGGGTGGTGGGCTGGGCGAGGGACTGGATTGCCTTGCCGGTGTGGGTGAGGAGGAGGGTGATGTCCTGGGAGAAGCGGAGTTAGTATGGAAGTAGTGGGAGAGAAGGGAAGAGGAAGGAGCATTGGGGCAAAGAATGACTACCCACGTTATCGATCTCAGCAAGCTGCTGGATGCGCTCTGCCTTTGTAAAAGGCTTGTGGACGTCAATGGCGTCTTGACCCTGAACATCGATGTCCATTGCAAAGGAGATAAAGATGCAGGTTAGATAGCTACATGTAAAGATAATGAAGTGCAGCAGTTGCCAAGGCAGGTTGGTGAGCCGCCTGGGAAGATCAATTGAACAAAAGTTTATTGACCTTATTATGGTATGTAGATAACGGACACTCTGACTTTCTATGGGAGCTTACTGTGGTAAACGAAAGATTGTGGGGTCGTTCTTAGTGAGGCAAGAGGTGCGTGCGCACAGACCTACCTCGGCACTAGCGCATCGGCAGCTCTGCAAGGTTCCACCACCCATCTTGAGCCTCATTCAATTCACCTTGGATCAAGTTGATCTTGACAACGACTTTATTCCACCAACAAAATTTATCATCAGTCAAGTTCCGTCTGGTTCTTTCCTCGGCAGTACCCATGACCTTCTGGTGACTGAGAGTTCCCATATTTCCCTCACGGATGGGCGAAGGGGGTTGAGTTCCAAGGCTACTCGATTGCTGCTCAACTAAGCGAAGTTTGAAAGGAAGCTGAGGATGTCAGGCACAGCACCTCAGGGTACTGGCACAGGGCCGCCCAGTGCTTCTTATGGCACCCATGGCCAGGGATCTGGAGGAGCAGGAGCTGGTGGTGGTGCTCCAGCGACGGCACCACCTTCTGCCCAGAATCTTAACCAGATTGTGAGCCCTTTCATATCTTTGTGTCTCTCTCTGTTGGGGTTTTCCTTCTCTCCCACTGCTGCTCTATGGCTCTCACTTTCACCTTCACTTTCACTCCCACTGGTCTCTGTGTGCCTCAGGCGAGGCATAGCCCAGCCTTCCCTGCGGACCTAAAAATCACAATCCCCTTGAAACCTATCCTTCAACTATCTCCCCGCAGCAAGTCTCTCTACCTCTCTACCTATATGATTCTGTATTTCGCCATGAATGACCTTGGTTTTCCACTTCCTTCACAGGCTTGGAACCCTCCTAACTCAGATGATCCACAGGTTACAGACTATCTCCTGAAGCGTGGCTTCACACAGACAGAGAAGGTCTTCCGCAGAGAATCGTCAGATCTCGGCCCAGATGGGCGGCCAAAGCACGATCGTGTGGACCATTTGGGTCCTAAGAAGTACGCCAAAGCTTTTATTCTGCTCAAGGACTGGGTCGAGAACAACCTCGACTTCTACAAGGTGAATATTGTCCATTCTGCCATATATAAGTATTGAATATCTCCTGACAACCCCCAGTTTGAGCTGAGCAAGTTCCTCTGGCCCGCATTTGTGTATTCCTACATTGAATTGGTGGAAGGTGGATACGCAGAGGACGCGAGCCAGTTCTTCAACACCTTCAGGTCTCAGTTTGAGAACGTCCACGCAGATGACCTGAGGACCTTTGCTACGGTTACTTTGCCTCAGCACGTGCAAGAGAACAGCACCACCAGGCTGTACAAGAGGGATAAATATCTCATTCCCTTGAACGTGCAAGCAGCACAGATCTTCTACAGTTTCCTGGATAGAGAGCCCAAATCCGGCGGAACTGTACTCGCCGAACTGTTTACTCAACATTGCGCCGTTGAACAGCGCGATCGTGGCCCCATTGAGCCCTTCAGTTTTGAGGCCATTTATCGACGGGCCCAGGCTCTGAACCTCGACGAAGCCGACACTCACGAAGGGATCCCAGGCGTTTTCACCGGAATGTCTAACCGGGACGTCCTAGACACAACCACCCCACTGAAACTGGGCCCGATGCCCATGGAGGCTGAGCTGCGAGACGACGTGCGAGCCGAGCTCGAGGAAGAAGACCATCTGAACCCGCCTGCTCCTGGCCGGCCTACGCTCGCTGACGAGTTCGACCGAAAGATCAAGCGGGAGGAGAGCGCCGATGTGCCGTCTCGAGCTGAATTGCCTCTCCCCCCCTCGCGTGCACGAGACGTGGTCATGGAGATGCAGAAGGTCCGCGAGAATCGAGACAGGTTCCGGGTCGAGGGACGGACTGGTGGCGTTGGAGTAGCGCTCTCAGCCTGCATGTTCACATTCCACAACACCCTTGGAAGGTAGGTCATGCCGCACTCTCTTGTCAACATCGGCAAGCGAATGTAGACTGACGCTGTAGCTCTAGTGTTTCCTGCATGGATTTCTCTCGAGACCATCAGCTTGTTGCCGTCGGCACAATGGATTCGTATATCCGTGTCTGGAGCATGGACGGGAAGGCCCTCAACTCCAAGCTGGCCAACGAGAAGGACCTCAAGGTCAACAATCGCAAACTGATTGGGCACTCGGGCCCCGTTTACGGCGTCTCGTTTTCGGACTCGATCACCAACTTGGACCGCAACCCATACAGCGAGGAGGGAGCCACGGGCCGAGTCGAGACAGACTCGAAGCTCCTGATTTCGTGCTCCGCCGACGGCCAGATCCGACTCTGGTCGCTCGATGTCTGGGCCTGCCTCTGCATCTACAAAGCCCACAACGGCCCCGTGTTCCGCGTTCTGTGGGGGCCCCACGGCCACTACTTCGCCACCGCCGGTTGGGACAAGACCGTCCGGGTCTTCATGCAGGATCATGCCTCCGCTGTCCGGATCATGGCAGGTCACGACACGAGTATTTCAGCCATAACCTGGCACCCGAATGGGACATACCTCTTCTCGGCCTCTGACGAGACGGACAAATCGATTCGCATGTGGGCCGTCTCTACCGGCGCCTGTGTCCGTGTCTTCACCGGCCACACCGATTATATCAGCTCCCTCGAGTGTGCCCCCAATGGCAAGATCCTGGCCAGCGCTGACGCGGGCGGCAACATCTTCTTCTGGGACGTCGAAAAGGGCACGCGCATCAAGCGCTGCCGCGGCCACGGAAAGGGAGGCATCCCATCGATGAGCTTCAGCGTCGAATCCAACGTTCTCGTCTCTGGCGGACTAGACGGCACGGTTCGTGTCTGGGATGTCGAGTTGCCCGCCGATCCGGCCAAGGCCAACCCACTCGTTGGTGGTTCCGCCGCCCAGCAGATCCAGCAGCCCGACGGAGGAGCGGTGGCGGCCGATGGTGCGGCGGCGGGCGGCCAGGGAGATAGCCGTAACATCACTGTCGGTGGACAGGGGGCCCAGCCGTCGGCGGCCACGGGCACCGGAACCGGCGTCGGAGGAACTGGGAAGAAGAAGGGCAAGGAGGTGCAGATAACCCCTGACCAGATCAGCGCGTTCGCCACCAAGAAGACTCCCGTCCTGAAGGTCCAGCTCACACGCATGAACCTCATCGTTGCCGGCGGTTGCTACGATCCTGAGCGGTAGGAACGCCATGATCTATAAACAACTAGCCCTGGCGCTTTTTTGAGGCCAAAAAGGTCCGATGGAGTTTGCCCCTTGGTTTACAGGACGGGTTGGAGTTTTCATCAAGCAGCAGACGACCTGGAGTTTGGGCCGCGGGTTTGCTTTATCTCGTCGCTAGGTTTTCTTCAGGGGGTCCGAAGGGTTTTTTAAAAGTTGGCAGGGGAGATTCTTTTTGATACCTCAGCTGCTAAATAGCGATCCTTCCGTAAAGCATCAATTCTGCCTTGAATCACTATTACACTGCTAAATATGGTCATGAATTGTGATCCCGCTTCTTTGTCTCACCTTCCGCAACTCAATGCTGGGTTGGAAGTGATCAACGATCTACCATGACAAACTACTACGCGCTCTCTAGTTGTTCCTTGTGCGTGTCTAGGTAGGTACCTAGACTCTAGCAGAAAGGGGTCACCTCAGGGCGGTGTAGAAGGTGTAGATGAATGTACGTACACCTCCCCCCCCCCAAGCCCACGTCATCCACAGCACTGGTCCGAGCGTCCTGCGCTAAGCAACGCCTTGCATGTCAGCATTCCACTGACGATCCCGCCCATCAAGCTTCCAAGTTCAACGTCGTGCCATTCTCTCCATTGGCACAACGCAGGAAAAAAAGGAAAAACGGGACAAGCAATGGATCCGGACCCGTGGGCAGATGCCGCCCCGTCACAGGGCGCCTCCGAGGAGGCCGCCTCTGCCTCGAGTCCCACCGGCAAACCGGCCCCTGGAGCACCCGCCAGCTCCAGCTCCGCCGCCGCCCGGCCGTCCCGCAACACGCCGCGCCGCCTAGTCGCCCAGCCCACGCGCCTCCAGGCAGTCGAGGATGACCCCCTGGGGCCCCTCGGGGCCGCCGCAGCCGCCGCAGCCGCCCCCGACAGCCTCCCCCAGCTGGAAGGGGCGCCGCCCGCTCCCCCGCAGAAGGAGCAGCTGCCCATCCGGACGACCATGTCCCACCACCATCCCGCATCAGCGGCGGCGGCGGCGGCGAGTCGGGCCGGGCCGGCGGACCCCCATCACATCGACGACGATGACGACGATGATTACGGTTCCACAGCTCCCGGTCCAAGGCACCCGCCGCCCGTCCAGGCGGCGCTGCCGAGCCCCGTCAGGAGCAGCGTGCAGCCCGGAGTGAGCATCGAGCGGGCGGCTAAGCCGAGCTTCCAGATCACGGTGGGCGACCCGCACAAGGTTGGGGATCTGACGAGCTCGCATATTGTCTACTCGGTGCGGACGAAGGTAGGTGTTTGACTTGGAGTTTGCCCTTCCGCTTTCGGAGATGTCGCTTACCGAGGTTGATTAGACGACGTCGAAGGCGTTCAAGCAGCCCGAGTTCGAGGTCAAGCGCAGATACCGGGATTTCCTGTGGCTCTACAATACCCTGCACGGCAACAATCCCGGCGTTGTCGTCCCGCCCCCTCCTGACAAGCAGGCTGTGGGCCGGTTCGAGAGCAATTTTGTCGAGTCCCGCCGGGCCGCGCTCGAGAAGATGCTAAACAAGACTGCGGCACATCCGACCCTGCAACATGATCCGGACGTGAAGCTGTTCTTGGAGAGCGAGACTTTCAACATCGATGTCAAGCACAAGGAGAGGAGGGAGCCCAATCTCGGGGAGAGCAAGGGGATGCTCAGCACGTTCGGGATCAACGTTGGGAGCAGCAGCAAGTTTGTCGAGCAGGACGACGTAAGGATTCTGGATGCCTCGGTGACCTTCCCACTTCAACTGACATGCTCTCACAGTGGTTCCATGACCGCAGAGTGTACCTCGACGCACTGGAAAACCAGCTCAAGGGGCTCCAAAAGGGAATCGATACCATGGTTGCTCAGCGCAAGGCCATGGCCGAGGCAGCGGGTGACTTCTCGGCATCCCTCCACGCGCTCTCGACGGTCGAGCTCTCGCCAAGCCTTTCGGGCCCTCTCGACGCCCTCTCGGAGCTGCAGCTGACCATCCGCGACGTCTACGACCGCCAGGCGCAGCAGGACGTGCTTACATTTGGCATTGTCATCGAGGAGTACATCCGGCTAATCGGCAGCGTCAAGCAGGCCTTCTCGCAGCGCCAGAAGGCCTTCTACGCCTGGAGCACGGCCGAGTCGGAGCTGCAGAAGCGCAAGGCCAGCCAGGACAAGCTGCTCCGCCAGGGCAAGTCGCAGCAGGACCGCCTCAGCCAGGTCAGCGCCGAGGTGGGCGATGCGGAGCGAAAGGTCCACCAGGCGAGGCTGCTCTTCGAGGACATGGGCCGGCTCATGCGCACGGAGCTGGACCGGTTCGAGAGGGAGAAGGTCGAGGACTTCAAGTCGGGAGTCGAGACTTTCTTGGAGGGCGCTGTTGAGGCGCAGAAGGAGGTACGTTTCAGAAGACCCTGTGTCTGTGTGCCCTAGTAAGACTTGGCGAAGGCTAACTTGGTTCTTGTTTCCAGTTGATCGAGAAGTGGGAGACGTTCCTCATGCAGCTGGATGCCGAGGATGACGAGACGGTCTTCTACCGTCCGCCCGTCATCCAATCCTCTAACAAGCGAGTCGGCAACACTGCCGTTGACAGGGCTCGAGCACGTATCGATGAGGATTCCGACTGAAGTAATCGCGAGCGAATAGCGCGTGGACTCAACGCCTTTGTGGGTGACTAGACAGGCAGGCAAGCCTTTTTCGAGGAGGACACTGAATGAGCCAGGAACTCGGGTTGGGAGTCTCATCACTGAACGCCCGTTTCTGGTTGTTGCTGCGATTACGCCCGGTATTTTGTACATTACATAGCAGATGCGCCATCGCATCGACATATCAATACAAGCTCTCCCTGGGCTAGAACGGCCAAGCCCCTCTAAGCCGCCCCCAATAGATAGCACAAGATGCCAAGAGGCATTATTCGCGAGCCTTTCCTTCCGCTGTCTCTCCGCTCCTCCTTGCTCTCTACCTCTTCTTCTTGCCCGACTTCTCCATCTTCGCCTGCTCCTTGGCACTCAGGCCCCCGCTCCCCGTCGAATCCTCCCTCGCCGCATATCCGCTGATCAGGTCCGACAACGACAATCCGGCATCCTCTCCGGCCTCATCTCCACCCTCTCCAGCCGCTTCTGCCGTCGTCTTCTTGGCATCGGCGCCGGTCTCAGCGGCGGCATCGACGGCGTCGCCAGCGGCCGCGTCCTCCTCGATGGCGTCCCAGCCGCGGCCGAAGCGGGCCCGGAAGGCGGCCAGCTTGCCGGCCTCGTCGACCTCGAGGTTGCGCAGGCTCGCCTCGGACGGCTGCCACAGGGCGTGGTTGCGCGTGTCCTTGGTGGAGCGGTGCAGCGGCACGGGGGACGTCGTCCGGTGCGTAAAGGTGCTGCCGTCGCTCAGCTGCACCAGCTGCGTGAACTGGTAGGGGCGGCGATGGCGGGGCACGAAGGTCGCGTGCCGGACTTGGGAGCCGGTTGGGTGGTGGCGGAGGTGGTGTGCTGAGGATGTGCTTGGTGTCGGGGTGGTGTTGGGGATGAGGGAGATCGGACTCGGTCGCCGGAGGAGCGTGGTGGGTAGCCTGGAGCCCATTGTGGTTGGCTTGTGTGGTTGGGATGGTGTGCCGGTATGCAGAGAGCAGATGAGTCGCTCAGGTTTAAAGGAGTGTAATTGGGGTATGTTGTTGAGGCAGCCTAGCTCAAAAGTATCATGGCCGATCGGTTCCAATCGTCCCGAGTCTCGATTCTTCGAGGTTGAAAATTTGATACGGCGGGCGGGATGCACCACATGCGTTATCGTTATCGGAGCTCCATTGCTTCTGAGCGATCTACACCTCCGGCCACGGCGCCTTCTCCAAATTTTTTGAAGGGGGCAGTCAACGAACAACCGCCAGCCAGCCGGCAGCAGTAATTCTAATTTGGCATTCATGGACTGAAATGAAGAGCCGCCGCGTACTTGGCTCGAAGGCCGGACACGCATTCTCGCACAATGCCTTCCAACTACGAACTATACGATCTCTGAGACCCCTGCACAAGCTCGGCGGCCCTGCCAGAGCTCTGCCAAGCAGCAGCAATTGTTGTACGTGGGCGGCGATCCCCAATCCCTCCCTTCCCATTCTCTACCTACCTACTCAACCCGCCGCCAGCTAGTAGCTAATCAACCGACCCCAACAGGCGGCCCGACCAGATGCTTCCACGCCTCTCCCTCCCCGAGCTCGCGGCCCTGGAAGGTCGCGCCGCCGACCGCACCCTCGGTGCACCCGCACTCATCGGCCTCGGAGCCGGCGTCCCTGCCCCTGCCCGAGCAGCTCCGCGCCCTGATGCGCCTTCTGACGCACTCGGTCGTGGTGTGCACGTCGACGGCGCCGGCGTCGCGGAGCCCGCGCGCCATGACCATGTCGTCGTTCACGTCGCTGGCCCTCGCGCCGGGGCCGGGACCCGTCGTGTCCTTCAACGTCGCCGCGCCCAGCCGCACCCTCGACGCCTTGAGGGATAGCAAGAGGTTCAACGTCCACGTCCTGGCTGGCGGGCCGGCGGGGGCTAGGGTGGCGGATTGGTTTACGAGGGGCAACGACGAGGGGCGGCGGGTCTTTGAGGAGCTCGCCGGGTGTGGTGTCGAGTTGGTTCAGGCACAGGCCGGCTCTGGGGAAGAGGCTCGGCAGGCGGAGGTGGTGGAGTCGCCAGTTCTCAGGGGCGAGGGGGTGCTGTACGTCATACGGTGTAAGCTCCTGGACGAACCGTCAGGCGGCCTGATAAGGGTTCGGGACCATGTCATTGTGCTGGGCGAGGTCGTCGAGATTATCGAGGGCAGCGGGAAGGGCGGTGTACCAGGCGCCGACGACTGCTTTGGACTCATATACGCGGATAGACGGTACAGGCAACTGGGAAGCACTTTGGCCAGGGATGACACCGGCCCGCAGTCAGAAGACCCGGGCTCGGATCCCAAGAATTAGAGGCTTGCATATCCATGTTTGCTGAGCGGGTTACATAGGTTTAGAGGAATCACGCACGGTTGCCTAGAGGATATGGAGCAATGGCCAGGCTCACTGCCCGTGGCTGCCTGCCAATAGTAATAGTGTACACTAGGGAAATTGCATAATAGAACAATCTCGACTTATCGAGGCAGAGCCTCCCTGCACTTTCTGGAAATTTCCAGAGGAGGAAACATCCGTGCCATACCATGCCATATCAAAGGGAAAGAACGTCCTAGCTTTACCAGACCGTACTGGTACACAGGCCAAATGGCAAAAGAACTGTATCATCCATTAAACAGCGGTTTCTACGCTGTTTTCAAGAAACGGAATGCGAGAATTGAAAGAAGTATTCTTCTACGGCATGCCAAAGAATCCCATCGCGCGGTATGGAAGGTATCGCAGCCCACTAAATCTGGCCAATCAAATCGCATTCTGCGTTGCTATGGTGGCGAATCAAAAGAAGGCCGCAGAATCCAGAGTGATAGAATCCCATCGAAAGTCTTTGGAGCACAGCCCAGGGGTGTCCGCAAAAAAACCATTTTAGCTGAGCTTTCTCCCAGCTTCTTCCTCTTCCTCTCTTCCACTCTCCATCCTCCCAACCGCCTGACCTTTCTCCATAATCAAAACCTTCAAGAGACTCCCCGGAATCTCCAAACCCCAGATTCTTCAATTAGCAATACCCGTAAGTACATCCCAACTCCAACCCGTGGAATTTGCTCCTGCCCTGCACCTTCCCCACGCAGGCTGAGTTCTCCATGATGCCTCAGCCTCGCCTCATGCAATCCCACTGTTCAAGCTGAAAGGGGCTTCCTTGGGAAATCCTTGATCAACGGAGACATTGAGATTGATATATTTCGCCATCTTCCTGTTTCACGCCAATATCTCATTCTGTCGAGGAGATTTTGTGGTGAATGGACCGTTTGCCCCATATTCCTCCATAACAACAGAACACCTTGACCCTTTTTTTTCTCCAACTTTTCTCCCCACAATCTGCCCAAGCTCGATCCAAACCAGGTTCTGACCAACGATCTAGATTTTCACGACCGTTACGACCACATACCCTCAAGATGGCTGAGACTTTCGAGTTCCAGGCTGAGATCTCTCAGCTGCTCTCTCTCATCATCAACACTGTCTACTCCAACAAGGAAATTTTCCTCCGAGAACTTGTCTCCAACGCCTCCGATGCCCTCGACAAGATCCGCTATGAGGCCCTGTCGGACCCCAGCAAGCTGGACTCCTGCAAGGACCTGCGGATCGACATCATCCCGGACAAGGAGAACAAGACCCTCACCATCCGGGATACCGGCATTGGCATGACCAAGGCCGATCTCGTCAACAACCTGGGTACCATTGCCCGCTCCGGTACCAAGCAGTTCATGGAGGCTCTCACCGCCGGTGCCGATATCTCCATGATCGGCCAGTTCGGTGTCGGTTTCTACTCCGCCTACCTTGTCGCCGACAAGGTCAAGTTCATCTCCAAGCACAACGATGATGAGCAGTATGTCTGGGAGTCCAGCGCTGGCGGTACCTTCAGCATCCACCCCGACACTGAGGGCGAGCCTCTGGGCCGTGGTAGCAAGATCATCCTCCACCTGAAGGATGAGCAGCTTGACTACCTGAACGAGAGCAAGATCAAGGAGGTCATCAAGAAGCACTCCGAGTTCATCTCGTACCCCATCTACCTCCACGTCCTGAAGGAGACTGAGAAGGAGGTCCCTGACGAGGAGGCCGAGGAGACCACCGAGGAGGGCGACGACAAGAAGCCCAAGATCGAGGAGGTCGACGATGAGGACGAAGAGGCCGAGAAGAAGAAGAAGACCAAGAAGGTCAAGGAGACCAAGATCGAGGAGGAGGAGCTCAACAAGCAGAAGCCCATCTGGACCCGGAACCCCCAGGACATCAGCCAGGAGGAGTATGCCGCCTTCTACAAGTCGCTCTCCAACGACTGGGAGGATCACCTTGGCGTCAAGCACTTCTCCGTTGAGGGTCAGCTCGAGTTCCGGGCCATCCTCTACGTCCCCAAGCGGGCTCCCTTCGATCTCTTCGAGACCAAGAAGACCAAGAACAACATCAAGCTCTATGTCCGCCGCGTCTTCATCACCGACGACGCCACCGATCTCGTCCCCGAGTGGCTGAGCTTCGTCAAGGGTGTCGTCGATTCTGAGGATCTTCCTCTCAACCTGTCTCGTGAGACCCTCCAGCAGAACAAGATCATGAAGGTTATCAAGAAGAACATTGTCAAGAAGTCGCTTGAGCTCTTCAATGAGATCGCCGAGGACAAGGAGCAGTTCGACAAGTTCTACAGCGCCTTCTCCAAGAACCTCAAGCTGGGCATCCACGAGGACTCTCAGAACCGCCCCGTCCTTGCCAAGCTCCTCCGCTTCAACTCGACCAAGTCCGGCGATGAGCAGACCTCGCTCACCGACTACGTCACCCGCATGCCCGAGCACCAGAAGAACGTGTACTACATCACCGGCGAGTCCATCAAGGCCGTCTCCCAGTCACCCTTCCTTGACTCGCTCAAGGCCAAGGATTTCGAGGTCCTGTTCCTGGTCGACCCCATTGATGAGTATGCCATGACCCAGCTCAAGGAGTTCGAGGGCAAGAAGCTCGTCGACATCACCAAGGACTTCGAGCTTGAGGAGACCGAGGAGGAGAAGACAGCCCGCGAGGCCGAGGAGAAGGAGTACGAGGATGTCGCTAAGGCTCTCAAGAACATCCTCGGCGACAAGGTCGAGAAGGTCGTCGTCTCTCACAAGCTTGTGGGTGCGCCTTGCGCTATCCGCACCGGTCAGTTCGGCTGGTCGGCCAACATGGAGCGTATCATGAAGGCTCAGGCTCTCCGTGACACCTCGATGAGCAGCTACATGTCGTCTAAGAAGACCTTTGAGATCTCTCCCAAGAGCGCCATCATCAAGGAGCTCAAGAAGAAGGTCGAGGCCGACGGTGAGAACGACAAGACGGTTAAGTCCATTGTCCAGCTCCTGTTCGAGACCTCGCTGCTCGTCTCCGGCTTCACCATTGAGGAGCCCGCCAGCTTCGCCGAGCGCATCCACAAGCTGGTTTCCCTCGGCCTGAACCTCGACGAGGAGCCCGAGGCTGCCGCGGAGGCTCCTGCCGCTGCTGCCGATGCCCCGGCGGCTGAGACCGGTGACAGCGCCATGGAGGAGGTCGACTAAGCGGTTCGCGTGGTTTAAGCGATTGGGATTAGAGGAGAGTAAAAAGTGCTTTGGAGTGGAGTTGGAAGGTTCTAGGCTTCGGTACTTTTTTGACACCCCCATATCCCCAGTCAATGAACCCCGTCCTTAATTCCGGTCAACCACCTTGCGTTGTCATGTACTCTACCTAAGGTTAAAGGCGACGGGTGCGGTTAATGGCTTTTACAGACATAGGCGCAAATCGATTCTGCTTTAGAAGATAACCACCTTCGTTTCTTGTGATTTTTGCTGTGACTGGTGATGATGCCCTACTTGATTGTCCTATTACACCAACCTGCCCACGCACTGCCTTGGGTACCACGCTCAGATTCAGGGAAGCATCAGGCGTCCAAGTGTCGTCAGGAAAGGGGGCTTGGCTCTGTTTTGCAACAGGATATAACAGCTTCGCAGATAGGCCTGATCCATCAATATTAACTTGCCATCGCTGGCAACACCAGTCTCTCCTATCCTTCTTCATGACAGATTAACACATAGTTCGTCTAGATAATTTCTGTGACAGATACAATCTGTACGTCTTCTTTTTTTCTTCATCTTCTTTGCTTGCTTCTTGTCTTCTCGCGAATGCAGCATAATCTAGTCGAGGAAGCAGACAGATGGGTGGTGGCTAACAAAACTACCAGGTCAGAAATATAAATCTAGTTCGATGCTCCCATATCCGTCCGCATGAGAGGAACACTAAAACACCCTTCCCACCAACTTTCATTTTCTGTCGCATACCGTTCGTCTCTCATGCCTTACAAGTTCTTTAATACATACCTACCCTACCTACTGGTCAGTGGTAGAGGGCAGAAGGCTCTTAAACCCAGGTTGGGGGCCCCAGGGGGTGACATCGTCCATCGATGAAAGGCAGAGCCTCCCTCCCTGCCTTAATCCAGCTTGACTCTGACACCCCCGTCAGTTCGCCACTTCTCTTTTCTTTCTTTCCTTTTTTTCTTCTTCTCTACGATGTAATCTTCTCCTTTCACAACACCTCCTCACCCTCCTCCTCCTCCCGGAACCTGATCCCGCCCTCGACACAGACCCCGCGGGCCACCCACTCAGCCGCGGCAACCTTACCCAGCGACCACCTGCTCCTCGCGCGCTTGAGCAAGCCCTCGACGACCTCCATAGCGCCCCCGAGCCCCCGCGCCCCGAACCTCGCCACGTCGGCGTCGTGGTCTCCCTCGCCCTCGCCCTCGGCCCCGTACTCGACCCACCGCCACTCGACCCGCGCGATCCGGTGGCTCGTCCGGCTGCGCATGCGCACCTGCGCGGCCTGGTCTCCCGCCCCGGGGGGAGGGTCGAAGGGGAGCCTGCTCTCGAGGAGCGCGTAGAGGAGAACGCCCAGCGACCAGGCGTCGGTGGCCCGGCCGTCGTACGGCTGGCCCATGATCACCTCGGGGGCCGCGTAGTCGTCCGAACCGCACCGCGTCTCCAGCCGCTCATCGTCGGCGATGCGCCGCGACAGGCCGAGGTCCGTGAGCGTCACGACCGGGTACGGGTACGTCGTCCAGTCGGTCGTGGTCGACGCTAGCTCGCTTGCGGGGAGGTTGACCAGGACGTCTGGTTGTGGGTGTTAGCAGGGGCTGCAAGGCACAGCGCTTATCGGTCGGGATGCATATATATATATATATATATAGTGGTTTTGAGAAAATATGCTAGTACTTACTCTCGAGCTTGATGTCCCGGTGGACGATCCTCCTCTCGTGAAGGTAGCTCGTTGCGCCAACCAGCTCGGCGAATATCCTCTGCATCAGATTCGGTGTGAGGAGTTCCCGGTGGGTGCTGGCGACGTCAAACAGATCACCTCCCGCGCAGTAGCTGAGGACTAGGATGGCCCGGGTCGGCTCGATATTCCACGACTTGAGGTGCACCAGCGACGGGTGGTGGATGCTCTGCATGATCTCCAGCTCGCGCTTGAGGCTCATCTCAATCCGCTCCTCCGACGCTCCTCCCATGGGGCCGTGCTCGCAGACCTTGACGGCCACGAGGGTCCGGCGATCGTACTGCGACTGCGGGTCCGGGGTCAGCATGCCGCCCGAACCGCTACCGTCCTCGTCGTCGGACGCCGAAGACGACACTTGGCTGGTGGCGAGCATGACGCGGCTGAAGGTCCCCTGCCCGATCACCTTTATCGCACGCCAGCGGCGCCGTTTCCGGTCGTGTCGGCCGCGTGCCTCGAAGTACTCGACCCTCGGCTTCCTAGCGGAGGTGGTCTCGTTGAGGGGCGACGAGTCGTTGACGCTCACTGATGACTCACTTGGAGGGGGAGTGGGCGGCTTCTGCGCCGGTGTCAGCCCTCTTGATTCGGAGAGGTGCGGCTCGCGTCGTAGGTGGGCCCCGAATGTCGTGCTCCCACTCGAAGCATTGGCTCTGGGATTTGCTCCAGATACAGTCGACATGCGCTTGGGGATCAACACCGGGTCAGGGATGTACTCGCTTATGCTTCTGTTCCTTGCATGCGGTTGTGCTCCCTGGCCGTTCTCTTCTGGTCGGACAGCTTGTGCCCCGCCTGCTCCGGCCGGCGAGTCCATAACCCCGTATGCCTTCCTCTTGTTCTGATACGCCAAGGCGGCGGCGATCGTCTCCCCCGTACTGCTGACAAGGACGCCGTCGCTTGCGACAGGCGTCGGAGTGCCCGCCGCTTCCCTCGAGGGCGGTCGTCCAAGCATCTTCCACGGACCAGGAGAGTCGCTTGACAGCAGCGGGGAGGGCAACGGCGTGACGTCTCCCATGGCAGTTATGATGGGGCTCGGGACTGTCGAGCTCGTTCCCGACGCGGTGCCCAGTGCGGCAGCAAGGGAGCCCGTCTTCAAGCTCGGGGTGCGCGACACCGGCTTGAGGGAGGAAGCCGAAGTCTTGTGCTGTAGAGTGGGCCGGTCTGCGGATAGAGTGTGACTGCGGACTGGAGTGGAGGGGTAGATATCGGTCTGGATTCGCAGGGCGCTGGCACCGGACCCCAGAGGGCTCGGCTGATATCGCGACTGCTGTGCCGCGCTGCAGGGGGGTTCGGTGGGTTTCGGAGGGGTAGTGGCCACACCGGGCGAGGACTCGGACAGCGGAGGAGAAGGTGCTGTTGTTAGGGACTGGAAGTGGACCTGGCTCGCGGGGAAGGGAGGAGTCGGGGGCGGGCCTGGGGAGTGGTGATCGTCCTCCCTTGCGGCAACTTGGGGAAGGGAGGCGGCGTCGTTGTTAGAGTCGGCGGATGCATTGCGCCTGCTGAGGTCGGCGGCCGCTAGAGACGCCGCGGCGTGTAATAAGCGAGTGTGGCGGTCACTCTTATCGTCGGGGTGCAACGCATCGTACGGCACGGGCTGGGGCGGCCGGCCGGAGGTCATAATTGCGTGTTGTGCCTTGTATGGGCCAGTAGGCCGTCCGAGGCAGCTCAAAGCAGAGAAATAGAGAGGGGGAAAAATGCAGGTGGGACCAAAGATGCAGGCAGGCGGGAAGGGCCCTGCTGGAGGGTGGCGGAGGCTCGCGATTCGCAGCGGACCCTGGTTAAGCTACTGCTACCTCTGGCCTACTGGCCTCTGTGCTCCGAAACCGACGTCGTAGCAACGCAGCGGCTCTAGTATGCTTACGGGTTAGGGGAGCCTCTTTTGCTTCTTCTGGGGTTGTCATTCTAAAAGTGTACGGGGATACGGAGACACGCAGTACATAGTACACAAATAGACGACGGGTTGCAGGGGGTTGCAGGTGCACATACCAGCGCAAGTAAAGTAGAGTCGGTCGCAGGTAGCTGTCAATCGACCAACGGTGTAACAGAGGCAACAGAGGTAACGTTTGATTCCCAGTCGACTAGGGGACTTGCGATGTGCCTCGAGGGTCTTCGCCACACTTCATACATTTATTTGCCTGTCCGATGACCTCCGTGCCTCCCTCTTCCCCCGTAATCTTGCAGTATCCGTAGGCGGAGCAGAGGGGCTGAGAAGGCAAGAGCTGCAGGATTTGGGGTTGCATTTACTTTGTAGAAGACAAAGTTGGAAGGAATATCGACGAGTGTAGATTAATTACTTGATTAGGTATCCGGGGCAGTTGGAGCGGCTTTCTCCGTTCGAGTCAACCCGCTCAACTGAACCCTTCCCGGCATCAGTCATCGACTCATCGCATGCCTCCACCAAAGAGCGGGGCAGTCTCCGAATCTCGTCGTCGCGGTTTAAAATTACCTTTCATACCTTTTTGCACGCTACTTTGCACTTTGCTCGCCGGATCGGGCTACTGAGAGTCGAGACTCAAAATTAGGTATGGGTTAGTTCCATTTCGTCAGGTATGTATGACCTTGCCAGCCAGTCTCGGGCATCGGCCTCCTCACGCCCTCCCCCTCCTCCCCTCCTCCCGCCAGGGCAAGCTAATGTCAGCAAACATGAAAATCCATGATCCGTCCAAGTCGTGCCAGCTTCCACTACCCATCAACTGGTCACCTGCTACCACGATGGCCAATCTGCAGCCGCAATTGGCTCCCCTGAGCGGCACCGTGCTACTATGGTGACGTACCGATGCGGTTTTCCTGGGGCCCCTCCATTTCTGTATCCTACGTAGCTTCACTTGGCAGTCATCCATGTACAGTACAGTGGGTGGCACTAGGTTTGAATCCAAACCGATGTATTAAATCTAACGCTAGTCGTCGCTTAGCAACCCACTTAGTATTTTGTATGGGCTCTACTAAGTGTACCAGCTTGTTTCGCTACATATATTAAGTTTTGCATAACTGTAGCTTAATTTGGCCTAGTGCCGGATTTGTGTACATTGGGTTGGATTCAAACCTAGTGCCACCCACTGTACCCGCCTCTGTTGCTTTACTGTTCACCAAACTGACTTCTTCATTCTCTGAAAGTTCGAATTTAGATGCGTTGGCTGTTGGCTGAAGACTCCATCGCTTGCCAGGTCTTGTGGGCCATCAGCTTCCTTTGTCGCTTGGTAATCTGCCTTACACCGGCCTGACAAATCCGTTCGTCGGGCTACTGCAGCCAGTAATCTATCTCAAGGTTGAAGCCAGGATCCAGCCGTTATCTTTGGCAATATATTGTTCACGGTTATCTTCGCACAGGCACAGGCGCAAAGTCACTCAAGATTATCTTGTCAGCTTCTTATCAGCAGCACAAAGTGAAGTGTAAAGTGAAGTCCTAATGAGTCAGGACAGGACTAGGAGGATCCCAGGCAAAATATACTGCGTAGATGTAGAATTGAGCCCCTGGCCACCTTGAACATGGTGAGCGGTCACGACAAGCCTCATTGTTGGCCTTCCCTGATTCGGTATACTTGGACTCGGCTTTAGTGCACCAGTGCTAGAACTCGGTGGGAAGTTAAGCCGCTGCTTTCTTCACATAGCCATCACCAGGGTTAGGGTTGGGGCTACAGCCCACGTGCCAGCGTGTCTTTTCACATGCTAGTGACGTCCATACCCATCGCCAACCTAATAGCAGATGCACAAGTTGCACAAATTCCATCAACTAACTGCCCCCTTGACATCTGCCTCAGCTCGACCTTCATTCCTCCCACTTGTTAAGGATCTCAGCGCTCCATCCTCTTCTCATGTCTCAGTAACTGTCGAGACAGGCAGCGCCGTCGCGAAACAATTGCTTAGTCTTCCGGGGCGCAAACGACAGGCACGCGGTCAAGCATGGAGAAATACTCGCAGTTCCGGGACAAAGGTTTGCGCCACCATAGACCATCAGTATGATGCCATGCTAATCTTCTCGACACCTCCAGGTTCCGGAGTCTCGCCCTTCATCCCCATCTCCAGCCCGACCACGGCGCTCTGGACAGTGCTCCACGTGCTCATCTTCCTCTTCCGGCTCCCCTTCTTCGTCGCCTACACGGCCTTCTACTTCATCGTCCTCCACCACCTCCCGCTCCCCGTCTTCGCCCGCAAGCTCCTCCTCTGGGGCATGATGGGCATCCCGGGCATCTGGTGGGTCGACCTACAGCTCGACGGCGTCAAGCGCGGCCACCTATCATCCCAGCCGCCCGAGCGCGTGCCGCACCCGGGCTCCGTCATCGCCGCCAGCTTCACCAGCCCCATCGACGCCCTCTACCTCGCCGCCGTCTTCGACCCCATCTTCACCGTCTCGCGCCCCGGCAGCCGCAAGGTCCGCCGCGTCGGCCTTGCGCGCGCCGTCGCACTGGCCCTCAGCCCGGCGCAGTTCTCGGGGCTCGACGACGACGCCCCCCGGGGGACCACGACGACAGATCTCCGCGCCCTCGCCCGCCGCCACCCGGGCCGCGTCATAGCCGTATTCCCCGAGTGCGCCACCACAAACGGCCGCGGCATCCTGCCCTTCAGCCCCAGCCTACTAGCCGCGCCCGCCGCCGCGCCCGTCTTCCCCGTCAGCATCCGCTACACGCCCGCCGACATCACCACGCCCGTTCCCGGGCTGGCCGCGTGGGTCGCCTTCCTGTGGAAGCTGCTGTCGCGGCCCACGCACTGCATCCGCGTCCGCATCGCCGAGGGGGTGCGCGTGGTGGCGGCGCCGGGGGACGGGGACGGGGAAGGGGAAGGGGAAGGCGAGGAGGCGACGGGGGACGTCACTTCCCAGGAGAGGCGCGTGCTCGATAGGATAGCCGAGGCGCTGGCGCGGCTGGGCAGGAACAAGAGGGTGGGCTTGACGTTGCGGGATAAGGCCCGGTTTGTGGAGGCTTGGAGACGGGGCCGGAAATGAGGCGGCGAAAGGGTGCGTGCGTGGCGAGGTATTGCAGTGAGGAGCATGTCGCTTACGTGGCTGACTCTGCCGGGCTCGAGACGTGGAGCCGTGGTACGCCGGGTTTCAGGCTTTACAGGAGAAATTTATTTTTAGGGGGGGTCTTGTTGTTAGCATCGCATATTATTCGCATGTGGGTGGTGTTTGTCCAAAAGAAAGGAGCCATGGCGCTCAAATCATAGTCACCTATCAATCAACGTTTGTAGTATAAGTATAGGTGTGATATCACCTCTAGTAGTGTAGATAGTTTGTTTTCTCGAACCAATTGTCAAAAATAACAAGACCCTTTTGATTGCGCCTTTGGATTTCCGGATCCCGGCTACAGAACTACTTTAAATCCCCCGTGTACAGATCCCCAAAACAACCTAATATCAACCTGCTCTCAGTCTCCAACCGTGCGTCGACCACTCCAACAACCTACCGATCCGTCACACACCCGCTGCTCGCATCGCTCACCAGGGTGGCGTACTTCTTGAGCGTGCCCCTCTTGGCCCTCGGCTCGGGCGCCCTCCACAGCTTCCTCCTCCGGTCCAGCTCGTCCTGCGCGACCTCGAGGTCGACGACGCGCTGCTCGGCGTCGATGACGACCCTGTCGCCGTCCCTCACCAGCGCGATGGGCCCGCCCTCCATGGCCTCGGGCACGATGTGCCCGATCAGGAACCCGTGGCTGCCGCCCGAGAAGCGGCCGTCGGTCAGCAGCGCGACGTCCTTGCCGAGCCCCGCGCCCATGATGGCCGAGCTGGGCTTGAGCATCTCCGGCATTCCCGGTCCGCCCTTGGGTCCTTCGTACCGGATGATGACGACCGTCTTCTCGCCCTTCTTCAGCTCGCCGCGCTCGAGCGCCCCGATGAAGGCGTCCTCCTCGTCGAAGCACCGCGCCGTGCCCTCGAACCGCAGGCCCTCCTTGCCCGTGATCTTGCCGACCGCGCCGCCAGGGGCCATCGACCCGCGCAGGATCTGGATGTGGCCCGACGCCTTGATCGGGTTGCTCAGCGGCCGGATGATGGGCTGGTCGTCGGGGAAGCCCGGGAGCTTCTCCACGTTCTCCCTCATCGTCTTGCCCGTCACCGTAATGCCCGAGCCGTCGAGGATGCCCTCCTTCAGGAGGAACTTGAGCAGTGCCGGCGTGCCGCCGATATTGTACACGTCCTCCATGACGTACTTGCCCGACGGCTTGAGGTCGGCCAGGAAGGGCGTCCGGTCCGACACGGCCTGGAAGTCGTCGATCGTCAGCTTGATCCCGACCGAGTCGGCCATGGCGATGAGGTGAAGGACCGCGTTCGTGCTGCCTCCCAGGATGTTGACGACGATCATGGCGTTCTCAAACGCCTGCCTCGTCAGGATGTCCTTCGGCCGGATGTCCTCCTTCAGGAGGTTCTTGACCGCCTCGCCGATGCTCTCGCACTCGGCCCTCTTGCTGGCGCTCTCGGCCGGGTTGCTGCTGCTCCCGGGCAGGGTCATGCCGAGCGTCTCGATGGCGGACGCCATGGTGTTCGCCGTGTACATGCCGCCACACGCGCCGCCGCCGGGGCAGGCGTTCCGGATGATGTCATAGCGCTGCTTCTCGTCGATCTCGCCTGAGATGTACTGGCCGTAGGCCTGGAAAGCGCTGACGATGTCGATGGGCTCCCCCTTCATGCTGCAGCCCGGTTTGATGGAACCGCCGTAGACCATGATGCTCGGCCGGTTGACGCGGCCCATGGCGATCAGCACACCCGGCATGTTCTTGTCGCAGCCCGGCAGCGACACGTTGGCGTCGTACCACTGGCCGTTCATGACCGTCTCGATGCTGTCGGCGATGATCTCCCGGCTCTGCAGCGAGTAGCGCATCCCCGTCGTTCCCATGCTGATTCCGTCCGAGACGCCGATGGTGTTGAACCGCATGGGCACCATCCCGGCCTTGGCCACCGAGTCGCGCACCAGCTTCGAGAGGTCCATCAGGTGCATGTTGCACGGGTTGCCCTCGTACCACACACTGGAGATGCCGACCTGCGGCTTCTGTAGGTCCTCATCGCTCAGCCCGGTCGCGTACAACATGGCCTGGGAGGCGCCCTGTGACTTGGGCTGCGTGATGAAGGACGAGACTCTGTTGAGCTTCTTCTCCTCGGCCCGGCGGGCGCACGTCGTCGAGAGGAGGCGCCTATTCCCAGAAACATTGTGAGTCCTCCGGGCGACAGGAGAAGTCATTGAAGACGAGAGAAAAGAGGTTACATACGCATAAGGCCTCAATGGCAGGGCCCGGCTCGAGGCCAGAGCTCTGGGAGCTCCGGCCCGGAAAAGGCTGGTCGACATCATCTTCTCTTCGATGCGGGCTGGTCGACAGCAGAAGTGGGTGCCACAAGGTTCTCAATTTATCATCCGCCTCTATAGACTCGATGCAGGAGAGGAAAATAAGAGGAATTGGAGTTTCGACTGACTCAATTGATACGTTAGTCGGACCAAGCACTGACTTGGAGTTGAGTCGAATCTGTCAGCGAAATCGGCTGGCAAAATTTATATGACCGCTGGCTCCATCCAGATCACAGGGACAGAGCAGGGGTCCCCCGCATAAACGCAGGAAGAGCTCCCCGCCATTAGTCTTCCGAATTGGGAGCTCCCTCATTGGCGGCTCATTCCGGCCTTCTCACCGATGCCCTCCGAGTCGGAGTCGACGGCGAGAGGCGACGAGCTGGAGAAAGCAGTACACAGGTAATCTGTTAATTTACTCCCGACACGTATACGAGATATTGGTCACGGAAGGATTGCGCCTGCATCAAGAAGCGGCAAAAGCACAGGGGAAACTTGCAGCGCCAACCAAATCAATGGCAAATTCAGATATGATACGCTGACAGAGGAGTCAGTCACATTGTGCGCGGGACGAAGACCGGGAGTAACCCAGGTCTCCCAGGTCTCCCAGGTCTCCCAGCTATCCTCGCGGCACGACCCCCTCCGAGGTGCTGTTTCCTCTGGTTCATTCCTTCTGCGGAGGATACACGGCTGCTACACCGTACCTACGACGCCGTACCTGTGCCCTTCCCTTCCTTATCCCCATCCTTGACCCTCCGGTGCAGTATCTCATCCACGATCCCATGGTCCCTGGCCTCGTCCGCCGTCAGGTACTTGTCCCTCTCCATCATGTCGTTGACATCCCGTATGTCATACTTCTCGTAGCCGAACGACTTGTTCAGGTGTCCCCGCACGATCTCGTTGACCTGCTGGCGCAGCCTCTGGATCTGGTTCGCGTAGATCAGGATGTCGGCCGCCTGTCCCCGCGTGCCCCCGAGCGGCTGGTGCACCATGATGGTGCTGTGCGGGAGGGCGTACCGCTTGCCCGCCTCGCCTCCGATGAGGAGGATCGCGGCCATGGAGGCCGCCGCGCCGACGCACACCGTCGACACCGGCGACTTGATGTAGGTCATTGTGTCGTAGATGGCCAACCCCGAGCTCACCTCGCCACCGGGCGAGTTGATGTACATGGTGATGGGCTTGTCGGGGTTGTCGGACTCCAGCCAGAGCAGCTGCGCCACTATTGCGGCCGAGACCGTGTCGTCGATTGCCCCGTTGAGGCATATTATGCGTTCCTAAGTCTATCAGATCAGGATCGGGTCGTGGGAGTCAACGGGGCGGTTCTTTGGGGCCCAAGGCGTACTTGTAAGAGTTTGGAAAAGATGTCGGCTTCGCGTCTCCCGTCAGCATATTCCATCGGCTAGAGAGCCTTATAGGGGCAAGCATACACGTTCGCCAACCTCCGGACTGTTTTGTCAGTATATCCGACATCAATTGGGAGGGGAGAGCGCGGACTTACAGTCACTTCAGTAATGTAGGGCATTGGTAGCGCGGCCGAGGGAGATCTCGAGTCCGGGGGGCCGTTGAAATGAAACAGTCGCCGACTCTGAGAGGGGCCAATCCCCCTCAGAGCACGCCATGCCACTCTTTGGCAGTTCATGATGATTTTGGGGTTGAGGGTTTGATGAAATGAGCTTGTAGCTTGTCGCATGCGTGGGGTTGGAGCTCGTGGAGCTCTTGGAGCTGAGCTTGGACCCGACTTCGGCTAAAATTGCTCCGCTATGTTAGAGAACTGACATCGAAGCTCAAGCGCCTCAAAGTTCTACATCCAGATATCTAAGTCGATGAGATGGCCCGTTATGAACTCAATACTTCCAGGGATTGGCCTGGGTCTCTCTGGCGCTGGAATGAGGACCCTGAGGCGGCCTCGCTTGGTCATCCGAGCTGGCTCTATCCAGACAAATGCCTGTCCTCAAGTATATCGTCGATTCATGTCTCAAGATGCCGGCGTTGATACCACCTTTTTAAAGCGCGGCTCAAGTGGTACCCAAAAAGGACTCGATGAGCATCCGTTAGAGATTGATACGGACCGAAAAATGATAAACACCGCCACTGGCTCCCTCCCTCTGTCACCCTTAATGGACCCCTCATTTCATGAGGCGAGGACAAGATTCAGCAACCCCAAAGCCCCCGAGTCCCCTACCCAACAGAAGACCAAGTTCCAGCGTAAACTGGAACGCAATCCTTATGGTATGCTGTCCGCAGTACCTATTCCTTGACCGGTCCTACGAATGCGAATGTGCTAACCCCATATCAGCACAAGCACTGGCAAGCCCAATCCGCCACTGCTCTGTCACCGGGGTGGTTCTTCCCCGTTACTTCCTGCAGGACTTCAATCTCGTCACTCATCCAGAAACTGGCCAGCCATGGTGGATCTCGCCCAGTCTTACATCCGACGAGAAGCCAAGGACACCGGCCGAGCAGACCTCAGAGCTCCGAGAAGACAGCCCAGTTCGTCCTCAGGAGTCCGAGACTGGGACCCAGGCGCCCAAAGGCAAGAAACCTGCCGGGCCGACTGGATATGTCCTCTCCCGCCAGCAGCTCTTGAAGGAGTTCCAGGAGGGTTCGCGATTCTTGTATTCGAAAGCTCACCAGAAGAGGCTCCTCCGGCAGAACAACCCTCACCGGGTGGGTTCGGTGCTGAAGAGGGCGGTGTGGAGAGAAGATATGGACTCATTTTTGCTGGAATTGATGCGCCGCCGGATCGTCGAGGGCTTGCTATATTTTTCCGAGCTGTGTGAGCGGGAAGACCGGAAGTACTTGATCAGGTGTGGAAGCTGGGAAGAGATCAAGAGCCACGATCATCGCGGATGCGTCCTGTGGCTCGGTCAAGACACCTCGGCCCCCCAAGTGGACCGTTCAGATCAGCAGGCTCAGACTGGGCCTGGCCAGCTGGCTACCCTGGACATTGAGGGTGGCCGATTCGGTGGAAAACTTGCGGTTCATAATCTGAGGAACCTCCTGGGCGAGGACCACCTGGCGAGGCTGAAGGAGAGTTCAAATGTCCTCCGTGAGGGCAATTTATTCTTGCTTGGCAGGAGACGCACCGTTGAACTCCAGCTCAAACTGTGGAAACTGGAAGGTTATGTTGCGAGGTTCTAGACACGCGCTTTCTACACCAAGTCCATCCTCACGAATCACCGAACCGGATCGGCCGTGCCAACTGCCCCTCGGACGCGCAGACCGTGGTCTGTAGCAAATGGAGCGGAGTCAAGCGCGAGATTTCCCATGTCGCGGACCTTGGGACCCAACACGAGGCGCGTACGGAGCCGAGGGTTATAGTTTGGCAGCTCCAATCGCACCCGATATATTGCGCGAGCTCACCGTGCCGCCGCGGTTCGTGCTCCCCAGGAATAGGGGGGGCGGGGGCGGGCGGGCACCCATGCTCTGCAGCGTGATCAGGGGCCCTTCCGGCTCTGGCAGGCGGTTTCCTCGCACAACACCACGTCGGGAACGTTGGATTTATTTGGCCCACCGGGATACGCGTCCCAGCTTCTGGTCTCTTGGATAACCCTTCGCCTAGGGTATCCTGAGGAGCATGGGGGGAGAGGGTCTTGTTTGCTCCGCAGGAGACTTGCAATCGAAAGGAGGCCATAACCAATGGTCACTGGTCAAGTCTAGAATGTCGGATAGCAGACAACAGGTTGTGAGAACGGGAAATACCCGGCCGGAATCCGGTCATTGTGGGGGTAGGCAAAAACAATCCAATACATCGGGATACAGATCTCAATGAGGTTGATTCTGTCAAAGATAGTTCTGAAGTTCACCAGACCTTCACCTGGGAGAGCAGACTAGATTAATGTATTATTGCTGTACCATATGCTATTTGGTGTAGAGCGGGTCAGAGACCAATTTCTTCTTCAAGTACAGGATTCTTTATATGTACCGATACCTAGGCAAACCCTATCTATTCGTCTCTAGCACTAACGGTCCTCACTTCTGTGACGGCCCGTGCAACCTAACAAGACATCTGCAATATCTATCCCCCTCATCGACCTACAGAGCTGTTCGTCAAGGCCCACAGAATGGCTACTGAAGCTAGACACCGGAAGTTTATAATCTGCAAGAAAGCTAGGAGACCGAACGCTGGTTCGGCCAAGCCGAAGGGCTCTAAAGGGCTCACGGCTCTCAAGACAGTGGATGTCCCAGCTGACTTGAACGACGGCATCAACAAACTGAACGGCGTATTCTCGGATGGCAACTCCATTATAGACGAAGCCGGAGATATACAGTTGAAGTATGTCTGGTGCTTCCTGTGCAATTGAGTCGGGGCATCATCGAAAGGTCTGCCCGATGAGGACTGGGCCAGTGAAACGGGTTGAGAGGTCAAGTCGGTTTAGGTTGATCTATGGGAAGGTAGTTGAGGGGACTAATACTGCTAGGTTCGCCCCACCTATTCATATTTAGCATTGACGATGGTGACAGCTTGCCTTAAACGGCTGGCTCTTATATACCTAGTTGAGTTATTCTCTCTTCACTTTTCTCGCCCAGAACGCCGCTGCCCAACTCAACTTGAGAGATGAAATAAGGCGTGGTGATGATAACGATAACGATAACGATAATCTGGATAGTTCTGATAGGTGACTAATCAGGAGCGTCGCGTTTATTGACTCAGACATCCCAAGTCAATTAAGTGGTCCAACTCACGTCGCGTCTGAGGCGCGTCTCCCCACATGTCGCATCTTTGACCCTTGGCAAACTTACAACAACTAAATTCCCGTCATCAGTCAACTCGTGTACATATCCAGACACCTCGGGCTCGGGACGACATGATTCGGCAAGACTTCAACCGCATCGATCCGAAGAGGCGCAATGTCGTCGACTATCGCAAAAAGCAGTTCGCTGCCCCGTCCTACAAGGAGGCTCAATACCCCCACCGGATGAACTTCTACTCTACCCCTCCCACAGCAGACATCACACTAGAACAGTTCGAACAATGGGCGATCGACCGTCTACGCGGTATGCCGATGGCCTCCTAACCCTCCCTTGAGTTCTACTCAACCTCAGCTAACCCGTCCATCCACCAGTCCTCGCCGAACTCGAGGCATGCTCCTTCCGCAACAAATCACCCGCCGAGACGGCCGCGCACATGAAGCCGCTGCTCGACAAGTACCTCCCCCTCGAGGCCAACAGCTCCTCGTCGACGCAGCTATTCGCCCAGCGCCAGCGGGACCACTACGGCCACTACATCCTGCGGCTGGCCTTCGCCTCGACCGAGGACCTCCGCCGCCGCTTCACCCGCGTCGAGACGACGCTGTTCCGCCTGCGCCTCCAGTCCGACGACCTGGCCGAGCGGGTCGCCTTCGTCCGGGGGCTCGACCTCGACTGGGAGGTCGTGTCCGACAAGGAGAGGCGCGCCCTGGCGGCCGAGCTGGCCGGGTTCGGGGGGAAGATGCAGGCCGACGAGACCTGGTGCAAGGTGGATTGGGAGAGGGTGCCAGATCTGGTAGAGGGGCGGAGGGTGTTCCTTAAGGAGGGGAAGGCTTACGTGCCCTCGAGAGAACAGCAGAGCATGGTAGTGGCCGAGTTCGCGGCACGGCTGGAACGTGCATTAGAGGTATATATATATCATGCTCTCCTGTCTGCGGTGTCGAAACAAGAAGGCTCACAGTTGGTTTCCTCCCTCGGTTTAGGTCACAGCTCGTGCGCTTCCACGGCTCGATGAAGACGATCGCCTCACGCCCATCCTTGACCACCTCTCCAAGAACTTCATCACCCCCGACGCCGGCTACAGTGGCGGCTCGACGGCGCCAGACGGCGCTGAGATCACGGCGCGCAACATCGACAACCTCTCGCAGCACTTCCCCATGTGCATGTCGAACCTGCACCGCTCCCTGCGGCGGGACGCCCACCTCAAACACTACGGCCGGCTGCAGTACACGCTCTTCCTCAAGGGCATCGGGCTGAACCTCGAGGAGTGCCTCCTCTTCTGGCGGCAGAGCTTCAACAAGGTCACCGACGACACCTTCAACAAGGAGTACCGGTACAACGTGCGGCACGCGTACGGCGACGTGGGCGGCGACTCGAACCGCCGCGGCGGCGGCTACAGCCCCTACAGCTGCCAGAAGATCCTGACCGAGCACCCGCCCGGCCCCGGCGAGGCCCACGGTTGCCCGTACCGGCACTTCAACATGGAGAACCTGGCCGCCCTGCTGCAGAGCAACGGCGTCACCGACAGGGCCGTGCTCCAGGGGGTGAAGGAGGACAAGGACAGCCAGAAGTTCCACATGGCCTGCAATCGGTGAGTTTTTTTTTTTTTTTTTTTTTCATTCCTCTTCTCTCTGTTCCAGGTTTTCTTGCAGTCGGTCATCCCTTTGTCTTGCTAACCACCAAATCTCCCCCTACGAACAGTGTCTTCGAACACGTCCACAAGACGGAGCTCAAGCGCGCCAAGGATGACGGGTTCATGACGGCAGCACAGCTCGAAACCATCGTTCATCCCAACGAGTACTTCAAGCGAAGTTACCTGCTCAAGAACCAGGGCAAGAAGGACCAGCAGGGCAGTAGTGGTGACGTGAGGATGGAGGGATGAGATACAAAGCAAATCTGTGGGTGGCTGGCTTTTTGCTGTTGCTCGTTGGGACTGGGCCAAGCGTGCATGAACCCCCACTCCCGGCTGGCCCTGGCTTGTCGTGAGTTTTCGTTCCTGGTGTTGAGAAACGCTGGAACGGTTCGCAACCGTCCGCCGGTTGGGGGGACCCTTGGTTCCTGCGTGGAGATCGGGCGTTTTGGCTAATACCGCGTCTGGGCGTTCAGGAAAGGAAATGACGTATTATCGCGGTCCGCTATGCAGTTAATGAGGAGATGCCCAGCAGGGCCGAGTTGGGATGAGGCTATTCTCGTTGTGGTGCCATGCGTCATCACTTTCTTCCTTTCTTCGCAGTCCGATCCACTCTTCAGCACCATGACGGGTATGGGTAAGGGTTTGACCCAGGCCCATCCGATGACCCCATTGGCGGGCATGGGCGGCACCGGAAAATAAAAATAAAGAAAAAAAGAGTGAAAACCGGTCAGTTCGACGGGGGTGTGGCCGAGCGCGAGGCACAGATCCCCGCCGCCGAAGGCTCGACGCACCTGATAGGTCAATTTAGGCGGACCAGATTGTCCGCACCAATTATTGGGCCTGGGCCCAACCTCACCCCTGCCAACCATGGAATTCGAAGCTTCTCAATATCCTCCCCCCGCCTTCGGATGAAGCTATTCCCATCAAGGGTCGTTTGGAAATTGGCCGGCAATCCAAAACCCAGAATTTCCCGAATGCTCTAGCGGCAGAAGAGACGCAGGGCGTGACACTAGAAACACCAACGGCGTGAGAATCTCTTTCGTCGCGTGTCGTCATCGTGGTCCCCTGGGTGGTCCCTAGGCGCAGGAATAGCCCGTTCCAGAGAGATGCGATGCAGATTGTCGTCATTCGAAGCCTCCCCGGCCTTTGCTCCTTTTCGCGTCCTTTTTGCCTATGTACGTATAGATGGTAACGGTAGACACAGACGTCGGGCATCATAGCCATGGCCAAAGCATCGTTCTCCGCATCCCCCACGTCCTCCTCGTCCTCCTCGACCTCCTCAACCTCCTCGCCCCCAGAGGGATCATGGGAGGCACGTCTCAAGCAGCCGTGTAACTTCTGGGGATGCACAATGAAGTCATACTGGGCCAGGCACGAAACCTAAGACGGGTATGCAAACAAATTCGTATCCATCTGCAGGATCTTCACCAGGGATTGGTTTGGTCTGGTCTGGTGGCTAGCGCGAGGGCACTACGGCGTAATTAGTGTAGGTAGTCGGTTGTATTGTATCGTATTGTATGTACAATAATACAACTCTTCGGAGCGGGTCGCGTAAGTAGAGCCTCCGTCAATACCTATGTTCCAGGGGGGGTTCAGCCTGCCGCGGGGTGGGGAGGTTGTACGAAGGGATTGGAGCGGGAGAGTTGTGTTGGTGCACTTGGTGGTCAGCTCGGGAATACTGTCCAAGACAAAACAAAACAAAATAAACATGCGTTGAATGGAAGAGACGTGGCCCCCTTCTCTCATCCGTCCAGGCTAGATCTCGATCCCCAGCGATGAACTCGATCGCTGGGGACCTCCTCCTTTTAACGATGCTGTCCGCCCGCGGTATCACCCTGTGACGCAATGTCTTGCCTGGCCTGGTCCCTGAAATGCCAACCCCTCCCTGGGCAGGACGGGGGTAATGGGGGGTGATGATGTCGCCGTGCATCAACAGTTCACTCTTACCGCATGAGGAATAGGAGAACAGCCGACACGCTTCCGCAGGGCACGATGGCGCTATCATCTGCGCTGGTTCCAATCAACGCCCCGCCGGCCGGTTATGCACGTCGATGGATATGGGATGGGATCATCCGACGCGGTGTTGCACGATCTAGATGGGCAATTAATTCATTGAGAACTCGGGGCACGAAAAGTGAAAAGTGCAACGTTGGTGCTATGGCCGTTGGGTCAACACAGTTTATTCCATGGATCCTGGGGTGTATAGTTGGGATGGTATATCCATGGATGTCATTCAAGGGACGGGACGGAACCCTAAAGACTCATGGCTTCAGCGGGATTTCACCGGCTGCTTGTCTCCCAGAACATGGATTCCACCGTCCCTACCTAACATACTTCACTGATAGGTACTCATTGATCGGGCTTGCCGACTCAGTTCCATTGTTAGGGACCTAGGTTTGTCAATTACAGAGCCCAATTATTGGCTCTCCTATGATGTGACCCCACCCTGACTCGTGCCCCCGAGATCAGGCGTTTAACACTGATCGAGCATTTTCAGGGCCCAGGCGTGACTGGGTCGTACTGGCCCTTGACATGGGACTGATTCATTCTCAGTAAATGGCCCCATTCTTCTCGTGCTGCAGAATAGAAAACCGGTACGGACGATTATCAGATGTCGCCCAGACAGTATCGAAATTCAGGATTTTCGGTGCTGCTCCACCAACAACAACTGTGCAGCCCGCACGTTCTGCGTAAGCTGCAGTGCAACGGGGCGCCGTTGTGGTCAGACAAAAAAAGCGCAAGTTCCTTCTCACTTGATGACTTGCTGACTTGCATCGCCCATGAGCCTGCTGATTGATCGTTTTGAGCAGGTGGATGGATATAGATATGCATACAATATTTCCGCAACACCGATGCTATATGTGGTATCTCGCTAAAAAAAAAAATATGACCCATCATCAAATCGCCAACCCGGCTTATGTTGTTTGTTCCCCTCAGCGTGAGCCTCAAACGTGTAGTTCCATCCATTTTGTTGCCATTCATGAAAAGGGGAAGAGAAAATTAGTCCCAGCGCCTCGCTATCTTGAAAAATTCCAATTGCGCCGCATGCCAAACAAAAGCCAAAGTCTTTCAATCGGAAAGGGGGTGAAGGGAAATAGAAATGAAAATCGTAATTCTCGCATTCCATCAGGCGATGCCTGAAAAGGACGAGTACGCAGCTAGGCTGTTTCATCTGCCAACAAAAGCGACAAGATCCCCGCTTCTTCGTTCTCCAGGGGGGTCAAGTGCTACCTTCAGATGAAGTACGTAGGTGGCTTGGCCGAAGGAGCCGGGTTTGGTGTTAAAAATATGGGTCCTTTCGGTGCCAAGCGAGCCACTATTGGCGAAGCGAATTCCGCACTGAGGCAGCAGAAGCACACCACCGAGGCCCCGCCGCTTCCGCCCTTGAACGAGGGCGCGCCCAGGCGCGGTGGAATGCGAGGGGGTATGCGCTTGGCGCTTCGCCTTGGCTGTCGAGCGTCGAGCGTCGATGGGGAATGGATCATCGGATTGTCCATTTCGCTGAGACTCGGATCGTTCGATTGAAGAGGGAGCACAGATCGAGATCTGGCAAGTGTGGTGGATGTGCCACCGCGTCGCCGGGAGGCTGCGTTCGACCAAGCCGGCATCGCCGGCTGCAGACGAGCGGTCCCGGGAGCTGCGGATGCGCCGTGAAGTGGACCCCGTTTTTGGTGGCTATACACGGCACAAACTCAATCCACAGCCAAAATCCTAATACTAGGCTGAGCTGAGATTGTGGCTTGCCTCAGCGCCCAGATGGAAATGATCGACAGATCCAGGCCCCAGGGTGAGCCATTGTCGCTGACATGGCGTGTTGTTGACATGGGGTGACGATTGGAGGAAATCCGCTCGGCGACATTGCCATATCACTCCCAATCCCATTGTCGGGGTGATCGGCGCAGCTGCAGAGCGATCACTGATCACACGCTGTGACTGCTTCTGGTCTTGTCGGAAATGGCCGGCCGTGGCCCGATATCCGCCCCTCGTGCTTGCTGGCCGCTCTATCGTCGGGGAGTGAATGCCCCTTCGACCAAAGAAAAAGATGTCGTCCATCATGACGACCCGTTATCCTTGCGTGTGCTTCATCTTCCATACCGTCGTTTTTTGGTGTCGCGACCTCACTTGTACCCGACCATCTTTGCGCACCGGTCGCAATAGTAGATGTTGGTCCCAATGCGGACCATACCGCTGGAGCGTAGGTCGTCTGTTGAGGTTATCTCCACGGCCCGTGCACAGCGGAGGCAGCGAAGAACCTCGACAGAGGCGACCGGCCGTGCTGCTGGGTCCATGCTCCGTCTAGCCGAGCCGGAAGAGGAGATATCTGAGTCCGAGGCAGAGTATGAAGAAACCGACGAGGAGCTGCCGTAATGCGTCTTGGGTGGTCTTGATGACCGGGAAGACATGGCTGGTAGTCGGGTTGTCGTGATAACCTTGCAGTTGGAATATGTCGTTGAAGGAGTTGGGTCCTGGGAGCCGGAGGCCAGATGATCATGCGCTGCTGATGTTCTAACAGTTATGAGTCTGGAGGAATCTTTGGAAGGGTTCTGGATGGTCTGCTCGAGGGCGCTTTAATATGTTACAGGCGCCGAATGTGTCTCTGGACAAGATGATGAGTGCAATGGTGGGATGCGCGGGAATATGTACTTTCAAGCTAGATGGAGCAACCGTCCGCTTGTGCAAGGCGGCGCTGCGGGTCTGGCAGGGGTGTATTCAGGTTGCCTAGGATCGTGGAAGTAAACTAGGACACTGGGCGTGTCTGGACTAACGACCTAGCTAACGCCTAATGCACTTACTGAGGTTGCATAGTGATAGGCTGCAAAAGAAAGTGGGAATCGCCTACTGTGGTAGATTGGGCATCTCCGCCCAAGCCTGCCAAGTTTCATGTTTCGTAGATCACGCCAATTACCCGTGCTCTTTAATTCTTCGCCCTCATTATCTCCGTCGCGTTTGCCAACAGTTGTTGGTAACGGCAGCGGCAGGTTCGTCATTCTGCTGCTAGCTGTGCATTAAATGAGTGAGTTTTCTGAAGTGCCATGCGTACGCTACCATTTGCCTCTCCAGCATGAAGTGTTTTCCCCTTTCTCCACGGACCGCAGCTAGTCCCCACTCAATCCCTGTCAGTCAAGGCAGAAGAGGAGAGGAGTCAGTGGTCAGTTAAAGAATTAAAAAAAAAAATTTAAAAAGGAATGAAGTGGAAGGACGCTAGCCGAGTAAGGAATGGCGTAGTTTCAGCCAGGATCCCCAGAACTAGGTCTGATCCATCGCGCAAACCGTGATCTCGATCCAGGAGTCATCGATTCAGCGATCAGGACAAGTGTGTGGAAATCGCTGTCGCTCCCCGAATCTGCATAATTACATATGCATGCAGGTTACCGTCCTGTGCACAACGGGCTGCTGGGCAGCCCGCAGGTGGAACAGTAAAGCAGAAGCCCTGTTTGAGTACCTAACAGCCCGATCCCCACGCAAATTTTGCGATGTCAGCGTCACCGTTTTGCGGCCCTTTCGTCTCCCGCAGGTGACCCTTCGTCTCCCGCAGATGACCCTTCGTCTCTTCCTCAGCTAAGCCCGACCAGGCGGTGCCCATCAGTCCATGTCATCCCACAATCTTGGACCCGGGGGGGCAGGTTCCAGGCCTCGCTCGTGTGGAGCCCCCCCGATGGTCATCTGTCGATGGTCGAGACCAGTCTAAACACTCTCCATCGCCCAGACTCCGGATTCGCCCCCCAATCTTTGTGAAAATTCACAGGCGTGCTTGGATGGTCGAGCCCAACGGCAGATTATCCCGATTGCTGCCGTCCCGGAGCGGGTTCTTTTCTTTTTGTTGCTAACAAATTCTTTGCAGCATGCAGATATAACCCTTCTACCCGCCTGGTGGGTCTACGGCGGTCTCGACCCGGCGTGCCATTCCGCTTGGGTGTCACCGCTGTCGAGTGTTTATTTCACATCGATAGTCTCGATTTCCCTCAACCAAGCCTGAGCAAGGGTATACCCTAAAGTCAAAGAAGCCCCTGGCGGCCCTGAGGCCACTCCACTTCAGACCGTTGCTGTTTTGGTCAGATAACTGATTCGAGTAATTTCTATCAGAAAAGACTGGTTTACATAATACAGACAGATCTAGAACCTTCGGCCATCACTTTTTCATTCTGACCGCGAGAAGGTTTCTTCAGGTCATCCCCACCAAATGGCCATCACTTGCTGACGGGAGCGTGCCTGAGACTGGCGACCGGCGACCGTTAGTCAAAGGACCGGGTTGTGAGATGCCGCCGTTTGGAATCTCGAATGATGTGGAGTTTCGAGCGGGACTGCAATACAGCTTGCTTGCGAGTCATTACAAGATGCCTGGAACTTTGTCGCCAGGAACACCCCGGAAGACCACGGAAGACCACTCGCGAGACCCTCCGGTCTTACACAGTACCATTCAAGCAGTCGCACGAACAACAACAGCACCAGAAGTCGAGTGAAGTTCCCAGTGGGCTGGGACAATCTTTCCAGCGAGGCAGTTTCCAAATCGATAACCAGCCCGGGGATATCTCCTGACGGGCCCAACGATTGGCTGACATGGGACAATAGAGTTTCTCATCATCGCCCTCCTTCATTTGACTAGGTACGTCAGAAGATGAGGCGAACCTGACAATGACCGATGAAACCCAGCCTCGGCGTTATCCAGGGCACTCTGTAAAATAAGAAAATCAAGGCCACCACACACCCAGGGCAAACCGGTGCGATCATAACCAAGCAATCGCAAGGAGCCTCTGACATAGGCTTGGGCAGAAGGAGGGCCAGACCGGCGTCGGCGGGAGATCGCCGTTGGATGGGTCGAGGCCGAGGCCGCTTAGCACTTGTGCAAGTTAGAGCCTTCCATCACCCGGCACACCTGCACAAAACCTCCCATCAACTTAACCACGAGCTGCAGCTGTCCCTAGGCTGTAAGCCTGGTTGTGCCCAGCTTTATCATAATACTTCCCGAACACCAAGCACGAACGTACACTAATCGTCGAGGCATGTTATCAGAGAGGCACCAGCAGCTAGCCAAACAATAATTGCCAGCCAGTCCAGCAGGTCCCTTGACCGGACTTCCCTTCAATCCGATCTGAGACAAGGATATGATATCAGCAGAATTCCAATCCCACGGCGTCCTCCTCAGGTGCATAGAGTTTCGGTCCGGAACCTTTTTTTTGTTTTTGGTTTCTGTCCGTCCTGTTGTCAATCCCCAGCGCCCACCACAACGGAATATGGCCTCCCTCCAACTAACCCCCTCCCTCTCCCTCCGCCCGCGGGGGGGGGGGGGGGGGGGGGGGGGGGGGGGGGGGGGGGGGGGCGGGGGGGGCGGGGGGGGGGCGGCGGGCGCGGGCGGGGGGCGGCGGGGGGGGC